TCCTATCCATCCCCACCCGCACCAATCACCGGACCTGGGGGGACAGAGCCTTCTCCGTCGCTGCCCCATCCCTCTGGAACTCACTCCCCCAACCCATCAGAGACTGCACTGACCTCACCACCTTCAAAAAACTCACAAAAACTCACCTCTTCAATCTGGCTTTTAATGTGTGATTGTTTTTGTATTATTTGACTTTAACTTTAACTATATATTTATTTGTTGTTCCTTCCTTTTCTTTTCCCTTCACTATATCTGTAAAGCGTCTTTGAGCACCTGTAAAAGCGCTAACAAATTAAATCTATTATTATTATTATTATTATTATTATTATAACCATCACCTGAAGCATGTCTGGCATGAAGTAGCATCAGCTTCTTCTTGGGTTGATCTCAGATCTTGGATTTCATGCCAGTGATCCTTGGTGATCAGGTAGCATGCCTCGCCACAGGTCACGTACAGCGACTTGTCCTGGAGCCTCTCTCCAGTAAAGATGCTTCTGCACTTCCTATGGTAGGTGACAGGTGGTATGACATCATCTGGCAAGTCCTTTGCGATGTCTAAGATCGGTGCATGCTGTCTGATTTCTGCTGCTCTCAGCAGGGTTTTCCAGGAACCAATGTCTTTTGGTGATACCAGGGTTGAGTCTTCATCTTGAGATGTGCAATGAATGAGGCACTCCAGGCGTGGCCGCTTTGGTGCCGTGCCGCTGGGTCCTGCCTCTGGGACTGAAATATTAACTTAATCTTAACTATACATCTTTACTAAAAATGTATGTCTACATACCGGTACATCAGACGCAGTGTCCGATAACATGTAAAATGGCAATAACATGCGGCTCCAATAACATTATCTGAAAAGCAACAAAATGAGCTTCTTCCCCAAAAATCTGAAAATATATTCCAAATAGAACATACAAAGCTTATATAATATTCATTCAGGCAAGTTTCATTACCATTTTCCACATAGCAGGGACAAACACAGAACATACCGCCAAACTTTGTAAGTGACAAAATGCATTATTTGATCAATAATGGGGTAGCATGTAACTCCGCTAAGCTACTCAGTTGGAAAGTCTATCATGGCTTAATGTACTTATATGGACCCTATGAACAAAATGGTACCACAAATGTTTTGCCACCTCGGGTGGTACCGATATTTGGTCTGGCCCATGGACTAATATAACAAAAAGTGTATCTCGAGCCGGTTTCTCAAACTTACCTACCCCACCTTTAACATTAACATCATGGTAACACCATGGCGACCGGCGGCACACCTGCAGCTGTACCGCTTGTAATTAGGTTCAACTATTAAAAACTTCGATCAAAATGCCGGCGGCACCAACAAAAGGAGCGCACACTGCAAAGTCTGCAATATTAAAATCAAGGATGCTGGTGCAACAACGTCAAATTTCATCAGGCACTTGAAAATTCACCCGGAGAGGTCAGTCACATTAACGCATAATGGACGGTTAGCAAACATGTTTAGCTCAGCATCAGCTATGTAATGTTAACTTAGCTTGCTACTAGCTTTGTAACTGAATATTTGAAAATATGAGTGAATGTTTGCTTGTCACACTTGTTTGCGTTGAGTGGCGTTGACATCCAACTCTTGACATGACATAAAAAAGGTCGGTAACGTTAATCATTACGTTCCGCTGCCACCATCTACTCGCTAACGTTAAACGTAGAAAAATACATAGTTACATACATAAATACATCTGTCGGTTTATAGGCAGGTTACAGGTTTATTGTTGACCATGTAACGTTAATGTTACAGGTTTATCAGGTTACCATTACACTGGGTTTGAGTGAGAGGATAGAGGAATATGTTTATTTATAGTAGACTTAAAAGATGTCATTAGAGACCCAGTGTAATTAAACAATACGGTTGCAGATGTCAAATTTTAACATTTTTGTCCACTGGCCAAATGGCTATCCTAGTGAATGTTGAAATGTTACCAGCCACTCAATAGATTGCCATTGTTATTTTTGGCTGGTGCATGCAACATACAGTACCAGCCACTTGCATGATTTACCAGCATTTGGCTGGTAAATGGTGTTAATGGTAGATATCTCTTTTGGAACAGGTCATGTTTTAATATCACCAGTTCAGTATATTTCAGATAATATTGCAGCAATAGTTTTTTAGTTGCAAATGGCACAGAACAAATGTTTACTTTTAAGTACTTTTAACACAGTTTCCCTGCGGGGGATTAATAAAGTATTTGTGATACTGAAGTGTTTTGCTTATAAGTTGTTTTCATTTAGCTAAAGTGTGATGTTTTTCCTCATATTGCATTGCAATAGCCTGTTTAAAGTGATCATATAACAAAAAACTAATCAGTACTGATACTGTATGCTAATAGATATAGGAGTGATAATAATACAGTAAATGCTTTGAATTTCTTAGATATAGCTGTGCAGTATTCTTAACAGACTGGATAGCAGCAGACAATAGAAGGCTTATTACAACCAGAAGAGATATGAGACTTTTATTTTTTAGAGACTTGAGACTTGACTTGGACTCGTGACCAAAGACTTGAGACTTGATCAAGTCTCACCCCACAAAGACTTGAGACTTGACTTGGACTCGTGACCAAAGACTTGAGACTTGACTTGGACTTGCAAAAAAAGACTTGTGAACATCTCTGCTGGAGCCACACGGAGACGATAACGAAAACGAATCGAATTCGATATCAAAAAAGTATTCCGACCCGCTGGAGGCGCTGTAGTACGGCTGGGCCTGTAAGTGGCGCTGTACTTCCGCCACAAAATACACCAAAAGCAGCGAAGAAGACCCCCCCCGAGCATGGTTGCCATGGTTGCCTGGTTGCCCTTCTGTTTATTCTCCGTGGTGGATTTAGCAACATGTAGTTCATGTAGTTCTCCATGTCCACTTGTAGAGAATAGAATTGGGAGAGATGAACCCTCTTTAATGGTCACACATGCAGAGCACACAGTGAAATGTGTTCTCTGCATTTAACCCATCCTAGTACCAGGAGTGTAGTACTAGGAGCAGTGGGCAGCTATTGTACAGCGCCCGGGGAGTGAGGGGCGGAAGGGGGAGTTCCGGTGCCTTGCTCAAGGGCAGGGGGTGAACTGGGACCTCTCCAAGTAGAAGTCCACACTCCGTATTTAGGTCTGGTCGGGGACTTGAACCGGGGACCCTACGGCTCCCAGTCCAAGCCCCTACTGACTGAGCCACTGCCGGCTGATGGTTGTGGTAGAGGAGCTGTAGATTTTGCACTAACATCTGTAGCATGGTCAGTAGCATGGTCAGTAGCTACTGACCAGCAGTGAGCAGCAGAGGTGGGGAGAGGCGGGGCTATTGCGTCATCAGGAAATGATCGTATAGGGCGTAGACACGGAGCCGTTTGGCCCCCCAGAGCGTTGCGTCCGCAGATCTACCCACCTTGGGACCCGTTATCGTTATCTGCGTTTCCCTGGCGGCCTTGTGTGGCCGAACCGTCTATAAGATAGAGAACTGTAGCGGATACGACCCGTTTCGTCTCCGCTGGTGGATGACGATGTCGGAAATCTTGGTCTGACTTTTCACTGAATGCACTGGAGGCAGCCAGATCTTTGTGTCTTTAGAATGAAAGTCCCACCTCTCTCCTTCAGCTGAATATGAGTTGAATTGAAGCCTATACTTGGGGGTGGGAGAACAGAGATAGGATGAACATATGGCATGTTGACAATACCGTATCGAGCATGTCAGCTATTGCCACTGGAGAAAATGATCCTGTAATATGTGGTTGACTTGTCTGTCATTGTGGGATATAGTGCAGAAAATAACGAGGACAAAGCTGTTGTGATTCACCTTGGGTTTTTTGTTACAGGGTTAGGGGTAAGCTCATGTGATTGGATGCAGCTCAACCCCTGACTTCACATCACCTTGACAACATAGTGACTTTGTTGTCATTGTTCTTGCATCTGGCCAAACATAACAGGTTTAATATCATTCTTCTCCCATTTTTCTTATTGTCTTTCTAGAATCTTTTTACGGGCTAAAGACTTTCTCAGACCCACTCAGCTGAACAATGGTAGTAATCTGTTAAATATTCTAGAATGGAGGACCCTCCAATCAGAGCTTAATAATACAGTTAACAACAGGGTCAGCCAAGGAAAGGCTCCCACTAATACTGGTGTTATTATGAAGAAGGGAAAGGTCCATGTAGTAGGGAGAGATGGGAAAATGACGTCCCTTTTTCTAAAGGTTTATCTTTGAAACCTCTCATTTGAGACTTAAATAAAGGCAGAAAAAGCAGCAGTGGAAAAAAGGATTCTCTTGGCAAACACTTTGGTGTGTTTGCAAAGTCGCTCCAGCTGACTCATCTCGTCTGTCTGCCTGTTGTTTCCCCTGCTGTCCTGAAGCTGTTAGTGAGGAGCTCTGAGAACACATCCATCTCATATTAGTGCTGGGTGATATGGAGGAAATCTAATGTTTTTGATCAAATACTTTTATCAATATTGTGACGATACTGAAGAGTTACAATATTGAGACACTATTTTTTTCTTTCTTAAATATTACCAGCTTTTATTTGATTTATAATAATCAGCAATGTGGATATCATGACTTAGTGATTTAAAGGCAAAAAAGCACGGTTGAGCTGTTCTGTAAATTCAGAAAATTACATAATTTGACTGTAGTGCAGTTTACAGAAATAGAAAAATGCCAGATTACAAACTTCACTGCAAATGATTATGTCACAATAATGGTATATTACTGGTTTATTGTCAAGCCCTGTATATCCTTGGGGCTGTTGCTAGTTTTTCTGTTAAAATATGTATGGAAATATGTTGGAATGTGACATGATGGGATTCTTTTGTCAGCATGTCACGCATGACCTGCATACCTTAGCCCTTACTCACAATTTCTCACAATCTAAAACGTCACACATCTTATTCTGTATGACAGGCTTATGGTGTGTGTCATTAGGCGCTTTACCTTGTTGTTCAAAAATAGTTAAAAGTGTATTATTCTCTCTTCCCCCGCTCTTCAGATACAGAATGCTGAGAAGAGGATGAATCCTTCAGGTCATCCGAGACATCCACGTGTCTTTGCTGCTGTCCCTCCCCGACAGCCCTCTCGTCCCAGCGGGTAACCATCTGCCTCTCCACGATCCCTCGCTCGCTGCCCGGGTGCTTCCCCCCTCCCCTGCCCCCACTAGTGTCCATCCCAGAGGAAAGGAAAGGCGAGCCAGCCGCTGTAAATATGCCTGGATGGAGGTCTCAGTGGCGTCTCGTCCTGCTGAACTCCCTGACCTGTGGCCTGGAGATCTGTGTGGCAGCTGGGATCACATACGTGCCCCCCCTGCTGCTGGAGGCGGGCGTGGAGGAGCGCTACATGACCATGGTGTTAGGTAAGGACTTGGTTAAGATCGAAAGAGTGGGGTCTGGCTACCTCTAGTTACCTCAGTGTGTGTGTGTGTGTGTGTGTGTGTGTGTGTGTGTGTGTGTGTGTGTGTGTGTGTGTGTGTGTGTGTGTGTGTGTGTGTGTGTGTGTGTGTGTGTGTGTGGTGTGTGTGTGTGTGTGTGTGTGTGTGTGTGTGTGTGTGTGTGTGTGTGTGTGTGTGTGTGTGTGGTGTGTGTGTGTGTGTGTGTGTGTGTGTGTGTGTGTGTGTGTGTGTGTGTGTGTGTGTGTGTGTGTGTGTGTGTGTGTGTGTGTGTGTGTGTGTGTGTGTGTGTGTGTCAAAATAGTTGAGTATTTTTGGGTTGATCAATTAATTGTACAGTTTACCTATTGTAATCAATGCAGGTCTCAACGACTCATAATTTCTCCCTCTGTCGCTGTCTGACAGATTATCCATCTAACATGAAAGGCAAAATGTTTCTAGTTATCGTGCATACACACTATGAATCGACCATGCTCTCTGTGGCTGGTTGATTGACCACACAAGTGAGTGTTCCTTGTGCAAGTGTTACAAATGACACATCTTGAGGGCCATTTATTTACTTTGCATTACTTAGTCTATTGTCCTGGGCAAGCGGCAAACTCTGGGGAACAGCCGGGACGCCAATATGGAAGTGCCACACACTGCAGTTCATACATGGGCCGCTAGGGACTGGCTGCAGAAAGGAGCAATTTCCATAGACCCCCATGTTAAAATGCCCAACTTTACAGCAGAAAAAAACATGTTTCTACCCATGGATGCAATACATATTATTATCGATATAGTTAGATTCCACCTTCATGATTATGAATCTGTGAGTGAATTGTTTTCTAACATGACCCTTTTATTTATATTAGGTCTTGAAGTTTTTGCATAAATTAGGGCGTGGTCACTTTGATGGACACGTACATGCCTCACTGTCAGCTAACAGCAACTTGTCCACTCTGCTAGGCTACAACCATAGAGGCTACAACGTTAGTTAGTCATAGTACTGTACTTGACCCTTTAGCTTTAGCCGTGTTCGTGGTGATTGTGCCTTTTAGGGAATATTGTTACAAATACCAGACAATTAAAATGTCGTGCTGTGCGCTTGAATGTACTAACAGAACTTCCAAGAAGTCTAAAATGATCAATCAATCAATCAATCAATGTTTATTTATATAGCCCAATATCACAAATGTTACATTTGTCTCAGTGGACTTTACAGTTTGTACAAAATATCAGTATGACAATACGACACCCTCTGTCCTTAGACCCTCACATCGTACAAGGAAAAACTTCCGAAGAAAACCCACAGTTTAAAGGGGAAAATGGGAGAAATCTCAGGGAGAGCAACAGAGGAGGGATCCCTCTCCCAGGACGGACAGACGTGCAATAGATGCCGTGTGTAAATTGAAAAGATAATACATTTGCAACATAGGTAGTCCAAATGTTTGGAAATGCATGTGTGTATAATAGGAAGATGAATCCACGAGGATATCCATCCAGGACCTATGATCCAGGACCACAGCCACGACTCAAGATCCAGGGCTCGCAATCCAGGACAGAGGAGTGCAGGATCATCCATGACTCCGGATCCCGGCGTATATAGACACCAAAAAGAAAGACATTTGGGGAAGCTGGGTTAATCGGAACATGAGAGTACACAGGTATAGACAGAGAGAAGGAAGAAGTAAGATGTCCCCCGACAAACTAAGCCTATATCAGCAAAACTAGGGGCTGAATCTAATCAGCCCTAACTATAAGCTTTATCAAAAAGGAAGGTCTTAAGCGTACTCTTAAAAACGTTTAGGGCGTCTGCCGTCCGAACACAAACTGGAAGCTGATTCCACAAATGTGGAGCTTGATAAGAAAAGGCTCTGGCTCCCATTGTACTTTTAGAGACTCTAGGAACAACAAACAACCCTGCATTCTTGGAACGCAATGCCCTAGTAGGACAGTAGGGTATAATGAGTTCTTTAAGGTAAGATGGCGCCTGCCCATTAAGGGCTTTGTAGGTGAGAAGAAGGATTTTAAATTATATCCTGTGTTCTATAGGGAGCCAGTGTAAGGCAGCCAGAACAGGAGTAATGTGGTCCCTTTTCCTAACTCTGGTTAGTACACGAGCTGCAGCATTTTGAATCAGCTGAAGCGACTTGACTGACTTCTTGGTACACCCTGATAATAAAGAGTTACAATAATCCAGCCTTGAAGTAACAAATGCATGGACTAGTTTCTCTGCATCGTTTTGAGGCAAGATATGCCTGATTTTTGCAATGTTACGTAGATGGAAGTAGGCGGTCCTTGAAATTGATTTTATGTGGGCGTTAAAGGATAAATCCTGATCAAATATAACACCAAGATTCCTTACAGTCTCACTGGAGGCCAAATTAATGCCATCCATAGTTAGTATATCCTTAGATAATTTGTTTCGTAGATTCTTCGGGCCAAGTACAATAACTTCAGTTTTGGTCGTGTTTAACATCAAAAAGTTTAAGGTCATCCACGTTTTTAAGTCCTTAAGGCAGTCTTGAATTTTATTTAGATGATTAATTTCATCAGGCTTGATTGATAAATATAGTTGAGTATCATCCGCATAACAATGAAAATGTACAGAATGATTCCTTATAATATTGCCTAACGGAAGCATATATAATGTGAACAAAATAGGTCCGAGCACTGAGCCCTGTGGCACTCCATGGCTAACTTTGGTTTGCGTGGAAGATTCATCATTGACACGTACAAACTGAGAGCGTTCAGATAGATAGGACCTAAACCAGTCTAAAGCAGTTCCCTGTATGCCAACTAAGTGCTCTAGTCTTTGCAATAAGATATCATGGTCGATAGTATCAAATGCAGCACTGAGATCGAGCAAAACAAGAATAGAGACACGTCCCTTGTCAGAGGCTATTAGAATGTCATTTGTGACTTTAACCAGAGCTGTCTCTGTGCTATGATGTGTTCTAAAGCCAGACTGAAAATCTTCAGATAAATCATTGTTTTTTAAGTAATCACACAACTGTTTTGCGACCGCTTTCTCAAGAATTTTTGAGAGGAACGGAAGATTGGAAATAGGTCTATAATTGGCTAAAACCTCTGGATCGAGGTTGTGCTTTTTAAGAAGCGGTTTTATCACTGCTACTTTGAATGATTGTGGAACATAGCCTGATAATAAAGACATATTCATAATATTTAATAAATAAGTGCTAATTAATGGAAAAACTTCCTTCAACAGCTTAGTTGGAATTGGGTCTAACATACACGTTGATGGTTTAGAAGAGAGAATCATTGAATTTAATTGTTCAAGGTTTATGGCTGAAAAGCATTCTAGTTTACTATCTAGTGTAATATTAGAACTTACGTTTCCGGGAGCTGTTGATAAAACTATACTGGTCAAAGGCAAGAGGTCATTAATTTTGTTTCTAATAGTAACAATTTTATCGTTAAAAAAGCACATAAAATCATTACTACTGAGTGCTATGGGAATAGAAGGCTCAATCAAATGATAATATTATACATGTTAACCCCGTTCGCTGGTGTTTGTGTGCTTGGTAGCTTAGCTTGTTACTTATTAGCCAGCTAAGGACATAACCCTTTATGCATACATATACATTTTAGTTTATGATTCAGCCTTGGGTAAGACTTTTATAGTCTATGGCTATGACGCCCATAATGCTAAATGGGAGCAAATGTTAATAGGGGACCCAATTATCCCAGTGGTGGCCGCCGGAGCTAACGGAGCCGCAGGGGGCTAGCTCCAGCCGGCGTCCCAGAGCTAGCCCACTGCGGCTCCATTAGGTCCGGGCGGTGGAGTCCGTCTTTTCTCAACGTGTGAATGACAAGCATTAAGAATAACAAAATATAGCTAATTCTCTTGCAGATTGTCTCATTTGATTATGAATGTAACGTTTATATAGGGGAACTACACTGTTAGCAGTAACTTGGTATGCATGTATTTCATGTTAGCTTAGCTTAGCTTCTTAGCCTGAGCTAGCTCTGTTTACTTCCAGTTCGGAGGCAGCAGGTCCCGCCTCGGTTCCGCCTCTTTGCCCTTATTTGGAGCAGGCGGGATTAGACTCTGACGTCACAGTCGAGCCGTTAGTGGCCGACTCCGCCTACTAAGGGCTTCACGGCAACTCTGCAGAATCCTATGGGTGACGTCACGGACACTACGTCCATTTATATATACAGTCTATGGTCCTGGGGCTAGAGATAAATAGGTTGTTGTTTTCAGTCTGAAGACTCTGTTAGCTGTATAACATTTAAGTCATTAGTGGTGCACGATAATTATCGGTCCGATAATTATCGGTCCGATATTATTAGGAATGATGACGTCATCCCGATAAACCCGATAAAAGTATTAATAGCCCCGATAATATACAATATATTTTTTGGGTAAAAAAAAGAAAAAAATACTGCGGTGTGGGTGGATTGGGATGAGGGGCGCTTGTTTTTCCCTCGGCTCCTCCCGTTTTGCCAGTACTGTGGTATTTGTGCAGTGCTTCTCAAAGTGTGGTCCGTAAGCGCCCCCTAGTGGTCCGCGGACCACTGGTGGTCTGTGAGCGCCCCCTAGTGGTCCGCGGACCACTGGTGGTCTGTGAGCGCCCCCTAGTGGTCCGCGGACCACTGGTGGTCTGTGAGCGCCCCCTAGTGGTCCGCGGACCACTGGTGGTCCGTGAGCGCCCCCTAATGGTCCGCGGACCACTGGTGGTCCGTGAGCGCCCCCTAGTGGTCCGCGGACCACTGGTGGTCCGTGAGCGCCCCCTAGTGGTCCGTGAGTATATTGGTAAAATTTCACAAATTTATTTAAGTTTTTCGCACTCTCGCGGGAATATCTCCGCAATGGAACGAGCTTAAGTTTCACTTTTGATTGCATGATATAGCCCAGATAAGCACCTTCATCACACATGTTGCCACTTGTTTGTACAATTTTCAGGCGATTTGTAAAAAACGATGTGTTTTTGGATATTTGTGGAGTTAGGTGGTCCGCGAGTGTTTTTTTATTGGTTAAGTGGTCCTTGGTATGAAAAAGTTTGAGAAACACTGTATTAGTGGTTTAGGAAGAGGGTTCCCTAACTCATGCCTGGCTGTGACGTAAATGGTGTGCAGCCGTGAAGCCAGGACAGTAAACAAACATGTCGTCGGTAGTATGGGACTATTTCAAAGTTTCAGAGTTAGATAGTTCGCTTGCTATTTGTATTAACAAATGCAATGCAGAAGTTCCACGAGGAGGGAAAAAGGCAACGAGCTATAATACTTCCAACCTGATTAGTCACCTGAAACATCGCCATCGCTACGATGGTGTGTTAAAAGCGTACGAAGACGCCTGCGCTGCTAAACTAGCGGCGAATCCAAAGCCAGCTGCAAAGGCACCGGGGCTTCTACCTATCGACGAGGTTTTTGAAAAAGGCAAGAAGTTTGCCAGAGACGACCCCAGGGTTAGTTTTGTTCATAGTAGTAATGCTCATGTCATTTGCTCACTACTAGTCTTTTTTTTTACCACCAGGTGTGTAAAAACTACAGGTACATTTAATATATATATATTATATTATTATCGGTTATCGGTATCGGTCTTGAGAAGCAGGAAGTTATCGGTATCGGTTTCAAAAAACCAATATCGTGCATCCCTAGTCATAATACAAATGGAATATTATTTAATTAATTGCCTTAAACACCATGAGAGGAGTAGGCTGGTACCGTCCAAGGACTGTTAACTAGTATACATAAAGATGTGAACTTGTCCAGTAGCAGCCAAGTTTATGAGGTGGAGGGGGAGGCGTACCTTTGCCGCAGGGCTCCTATCTTCCGTTCCATGCAGGTCATTAAGACATAATTGAGGCCGTAACACAAATCACCTGTTGTTTTGTTGAGGTGGTTATCGGCACTAATTGAAAAGCAGCAGGAGAGCAAAGTACCGCAGGAAGAGCCACCATCTGCAGACCGACCCTTACGGTTGCTTCTTACATTTCATGGAATTCACTTCACCTCCAACATTATAAAACAAAAAGCAACTTTGATTCCACTAAATCTCATCTGCTTTTTTATGAAAGGATAACATTTTCGTCATGGTCTAAGTAAACTTGTGTATTTTTTATTACTTTTTTATAGGGCAGATGCATATATTCACTTAAAGGTCTCCTATCATGCAAAATGCACTTTTTGATGTCTTTTATACATACATATGTGTCCCCGGTGTATCAGGGAACTCGCAAAGTGTCAGAAAATAAAACCCTCTCTCTTTTCCTCGGTGCGCAAACCTCTGAAAACGGTGGTACAACGGGGCTGATCCAGATTTGTGTCCGATATGACGTTATTTACGTCATATCGGATGGCACCCACAGCACTATCAGAAACTCGCTATCAGAATCAATGCCGACCTGTTTTGGAGGTAATTTGGTCTTGTTTATAGCAAGCATCGCTAACACTCAGAGCTAACCAGTACTGGAGAGAGTATGTTTGAAGAAGCCGGCTCCCGCATGAGCAGGCTTAAGCTCCGCCCCCTCTCTCTCTCTTTTTTTTTTTAAAGCTTTATACCCTGAATCAGCACTTTAGTAACAGGAAGTTACATAAAGGGCTATGAGGCATGGCTAGAATGGGTGATCTGTTTGGTATTTTGAGCAAAACACTTCAGAGACAAGTTTTATTTGTATACATTATTATATATCTGAGACATATGCTATTGCCTAAAAATTGCATGATAGGTGACCTTGAACCCTTAAATGGTTATCCGTATCCTAGGGGATACAGTCATTTGGCAGGCTGTGTCCATGTCTAAAATGGGTGTAATTGTAGTGTAATTACGGTGTAATATGTGCAAGTATTTGTTATGCTGTTTTATGTAATGTCCTGTATTTATTAGCATGGGATCTGTCAGGAGTTTGAGTTACAGTGTGGATCTGAACTGGAAGAAGCATTTGGCATTATAGCAGCAATTTAGAGACATTGTTCCCCTGCTGTTAAAGACACCCCTCCTTGGTATAAAAAAATGCAAGATGTTAGTAGGATAAACTGAGAGCCTCTAACATAAGTCTAAAATAGGGTTGCCACCAAAAAACAAAGGGAAAAAAATAGAAAACATTGTTTTTACTGAAATATCTTTTAAAATGTGGAAAATGTACACATTGACTAAATTCAATACACACATTTTAAATATAAGTATCATGCATGCAGCTTGTGTTTGAATCAAAATGGCACAGACATCTTCAAAAAAGTATATTGTGGTCATGCAATTTTGAAATGTATTTCAGGCAAGTTATTTTTGATAATGGAAAAGCGCAAGAACATGTTTAAAATATATTGCATTACAACACTATATCCTCTAAAATGAGTATACTGTGGAAGGAATCTGTAACGGGTTCAATGAAAAAATAACATTTTAATCTAGGGTGGTTAATGTGATTATATCTTTCTCTTTTCTTCGCACAAGAAGCCAAAGATTTGACTCATTTTTACAATGAGACACACCGACATCATCTAGGGATTCTGGGAAGAGTCGTAAAACGTGGCTAATTTAGCTCTGTGGCCTTGTGGAGCAGCTGATGACTGCTCCATTATGTCTGGATAACGTATAATTCAGTTTGGTCTCTGGTTGTGTATTCGTGGCTTCAGTTGCGTCAGACCTTTTCAATCTATCAATAGCCTGGAGGAATTTATCCAAACACTTCCTAATGCAAACATCAAGCTGGTCGGGTTTATTTTAGAAAAAGGGCACTCATCTGGTTGCTCACAAATGAGTGGCATGCGTGTCCCCACTGACAGCATCGCCGGTACGCTATATGTTTGCTCACTGTAACTGAGAGTACTTGTGTGCATAGTTGCATTATCCTATCCCATATGGCCTTCACATGGTCTTCACTAAAGGCGTCTTCCACAGAAGTGACTATTCAAGTATAAAGAATTAAACAGTATACACTTCTACTCCTCTAACAGAGCTGCCGGTGATATCAAGAAAAATGATGTGATTGTGGTTCCTGTAAACAAATCTGGAAATGGCACTCAACCTAATTCTAATCTCGCTTTGTTATAATGGAGTGCCTGAGTGTTATCTGCATGAAGATAGATAATGTGTCTTGGGAGGGTTAAAGCTAATTTCCCTGCGCATAAGTGTCGGCTTCTCAGATGGCTGCTTTCTACTTTATCTGAAAGCCATTTGTTGGCTGCTTCATCCTCCAGTTGTTACTGTCTTTCTCTAGTTTCCTCTCTGATAGTCGAGAAGACACTGAGGTGTCCGTTACTCGTGTTATTTAAAGCATTCTTTTGGTCTATAAGTAACAAAGTGCATTGGGGAATGTGACATGTTATATCGATTGTGTGTGTTAAACAACGCTCTAATTTGTGTGTGTGTGGACAGCTTGTAATGTATTCAGAGGCTGTAAAGCATGCTTTGGTGTGATGTATAGAATATAGCAGTGAGAAGCTACTGAGTGGGGATATATGTGAGACAGTAAGTCTTCCAGCTGTATGGTGAGGATTGTTATGACGGGCCTTCACAGCTGCAGCAAGAAGAAATGTGGTGGGGGTCTGCAGTCCTCGTGTCTGTCTAACCGTCTCTCTGAATGGTCTTTCTGCTTTTTCAAGGTTTTGAAGCTTTATTTCAGACACAAGAAAGGCACAAAGTGTTGTCTGGGTTTCTTGTCTAACTGTAGAAAGCTCGAAGGTTGTATATTTCATTCATTCTTCCTTGCTGTGGAGTCATTTTCACTCCTGTGGTGCTTTAACAGCGATGTTTTGATAAAAATGTCCCAGAATTCTTAGTATTTGATGTCTTGCATGCATTACGGATCAGGTGAAAAATCAATCAACGTAAGATTTGATTGTCTTTGTTTGAATTGATGTCGTGAAAACCAAAATATTATACCCACTTTAATCTGCTTTCATGCCATGACTTGCTAAACAGTGGACTGCAGTAGATGACGAAATAATCTTTTCTATCTACTGAATCCAGAATTGGTTTTGATTTAAATACCGAAATATTGACAGCACGTACACCGTACACAAATTGCCTGTTGATGAGAAACATTGCAAGAAAAATCATCCCTGTCTATAATGAAAACTCCACAGGCTACTTCTTAAAAGTCAAACCCTGTTGCGAAGACCGGGTGGCGTTCGATCTTGCATGTGTGGCTGTATGTGAACATCCCATGTATCATGGTGTGTTCTAATTAGCCAGACCGACAACGTGTGGAGGCTGAGCTGAGGGAGGGTTACCTTCAGGCAGCGGGCCATCTGTAGAAAACAGCACCAGCAGTCTGAGATGATGGCGGCAACAAGGAAGACTAGACACGACTGTTCGAAGACATGCTGAGGGAAACGCCAGTCTACCAGTCAGAAGCTGTTTTAAGCCACTAAAACTGACAGCGATTTGATCCGACACCTGTGTTTCTGGCGTGGGATATTGTGAAAATCTGCTCTGAAAGTATCAGTGGAAATGCTAAGTGTGATTCAAAGATGTCATACCAATTTGACAAGTGTGACTGTGTTTTAGAAGGAAAATACCTTGTTCCTATATCCACATTTCTTTCTACTTTGCTCCTGACACCTGCATCTTTCTCTCCTCCTCGTGTTCTTCTATCCTAACCACATTGTACTTCTGGTTCTGTCCACAGGTATTGGTCCAGTGCTCGGCCTGCTGTTCATCCCTCTCATTGGCTCAGCCAGTGACCAGTGCAACAGCAGTTATGGAAGGCGGCGGCCGTTCATCTGGCTGCTGTCTTTAGGAGTTCTTCTGGCACTTTTCATCATTCCCAACGCCGACTTACTGGCTGCACGCTTTGCCTGGGGCGGGCGCACCCTCCAGGTAAGACACCAGCTTATTGTCTTTATGAATTCTTCCTACAAGACGGGAATTAACACATTTTCTACCATTTGCTACAGGTGGGCTTCCTTATCCTCGGGGTTGGGCTTCTTGACTTCTGTGGACAGGTGTGCTTCACACCACTAGAGGCTCTCCTGTCGGACCTTTACAAGGACGAGGAGGACTGCGGGCAGGCCTTTGCCATGTTCTCCTTCATGGTCAGCTTGGGAGGCTGTGTGGGATATTTGCTCCCCTCACTGGACTGGAGTAGTGGTCTGCTCTCTGTTTACCTAGGAGGCCAGGCCGAGTGCCTCTTTTCCATCCTCATCATCATCTTCGTCACCAGTGTGCTCATCACCATGAAGGTGTCTGAGGAACCCTCGTGTCCCAGCAGCGTCTTGGCGGGACCTGGATCTCTGCTGGAGGCGGGGCCCGGTACGATAGAGGGGGCCCGGTGCGGGGTGCCGCGCTCCTGCTGCTACCTGCTGAAGTGCAAGCTGAGGCTCCTGAAGTCCGGCCCCCTGCTGTGCCTGCTGAGGACCTGCTGGACCATGACCCCCGCCATCTACAGGAGCTACTGCCACGTCCCGCGGGTGATGCGGCAGCTGTGTGTGGCTCAGCTCTGCAGCTGGATGGCCGTCATGTCTTTTATGCTTTTCTACACAGACTTTGTGGGGGAAGGCCTGTACGAGGGCGTGCCCAGCGCATCACCGGGAAGCGTGTCCAAGCAACGATACGATGAAGGTCAGATCTCCTCGTTATACAGTACAATAATGTGTTATGTTAGCTTCATTTCTTCGACCAAGATTTTTATCTTTAACATCTTTTTCTGGGTTTCTTTCCTTTTGTCAATTTTTATGTCCCTTTTGTTCCAATTGAAGAAATGAAAACTCATTACACGAGGAAGGGGTGCTTCTCAGCCTCTTGTGGCTGAAATGAGTATTACAACAACAAACAAATGAACCCTGGCATCCTATATTTCCCGGCATGTTACTCAAAATCCATTTATTTAAGGAACTGAGATACAAAATGTTACAAAGCCTTTTTTTAACCTGGTACATAACTGGTAACATAGTACAGAAAACATTTTTGATCAAAGTCTTTTTCTCATTTGCCTCATCGTAACAACATAGAATGAAACAAACTCACATTGAGCTAGTGAGACATGTCCTTCCTTGGTCAACATGTCTTCACCTCCTCCACCATAAAGTGGCTCGGGGTCCTGGCTGAGCTGTCCCAGCTGGGCAGGATGCTCTCACATTCCTCGGGCACCGGTGGATGACGGAGCCTGTGTTCCTGCTGCTGCTGCTGCTGCCCTCATTTAAGCTCCTGTCAAAGTGTCAGACAGCAGAGAAGAAGTTGCCATAGATTCTTTGTCAGGACACTTTAAATGAGATGGTGAACATTTTGTGTAGGTATGCCTTTGGACAAGTATGTTTATCGCATTGTCATTCCAAGGAGTTTCAGGTATAACTTCTTACCCTGGCACTTATAAATAGCACCAACAAAAATACAGCTTTTCCTGTTCCTGCTCTTTAATCTTGATTAACAAATCCTGCGAGACAGTTGAATGGCTAAAGTGTAAAGCTATGCAAATGCTGTGCCTATGTTTCTACCTACTTATAACTTTTTAGATAGACCCAACCAAATCTGCTGTAAGTGGTGTAAGAGGAAGACTTCTTTCTTTGGTAGATTTTAACAGACAATTTGAGAAAGAACCGTAAAAGGGGAAAGGTTTCGCCGATGTTAATTGATGAGTTAGAACTATTGTCCATGATATTTATTAACACAGTGAGTCATGTCGGAGTCAAGTGTAGTTTATTGTTCAGCCAAACTTCTTCTCTTCCACCATTTGTCTTGCCCTTTGTTTCCTTTTCCATCATCCCTCATTCCTTTATGATTTAAATGGTAACTTTCCTACTGCCCTCCACCTGTTTTCTCCTCCCCTAATCCTCGCTTTCTCTCTCACACCATTCTCCCTCTTTCATTTCACATTTTCATCCCTCCATCCACATTCTTTTCTTCTCCCTCCCTCCCTACTTTGTTTACCTTTTACTTTCCCTCTGTCTCTCCGCCCTGTGCCTGCTGGACCACGAGGAATGTCACACTCGCAAAGAATGAATGTCAAGGAATCGGCACACAAAGAGCATGTTCATTCAAGTCAGGTAGACGGCCAAAGCACACAATTCTGAGGCCTGTCTGAGACTGAGCTGCGGTTGTTTAATCTGAAACACAGCAGATGTTATTTAACCACATCTTACACCCTGCAGATGTTGCTCAAAGTATTCTGCTTTGTCTGTAGTTGCTTGTTGTTTTAACAGTAGCTGCTTTTCTTGTTGTGATCATGTTCCTACTGGGATACAAAGTAGTTAAGCTTTAACCCATAATGCAGCAGTTTCCCTTTGCACTGATTCAGTAGCATTGTAGCTCTGCCCCGTATCTCGTAGGGTTGCATTTCGGTGCTCATTAGCTTCTGTAGTGTTTGTAAAGTGGGCTCAGCAGCTTTGCTTTCCAGGAGTAATATGATCCAGGTACTCCTTTCACGGAAGGGATTCTCTGCTCCGCTGCTGAACTCCTGACCCTCACTGTTCTGAGAGCCGGGAGATCAGGCTGATAGCACGCAGAAATAAATAAAAGCCACACATGTCGTCACTCCCTCTTCCATAGATTATTACTTTAATGAAAAAAGACCTTGTATTCAGGGATGAAGCATATGTGTGGATAAACGGGAAAGATGGAACAATTTTCCAAGCCTTAAGGTTAAAATGTATAAAAATGTTGTCATGACTGAAAACTAGCTTTCTGTGATTCTGTCTGAAGATGTAAATGCTCATTTTCACATCAAGTGTAGTGGCAGAGGTCAAATAGAGGCTGCAAAAGCTTGTGTGATTGTTCTGGACTGGTTAAAAAACACATTAGGTGAGTTTCTTATGAAAAGCAGTTGTAATATTATTGTTTGAGCATTGTGTTTACCTTTAGTGGTAGTGACTGTTGGTTTTTCTCAAGTTTCCCATTGCTACTATGGGTTGGAATGAGATTGCCATTAAGACACATCACAAGAGTAAAATCACTGATACATGTTAAGGTCAACTGTAACTGACTAAATGTGTTTATTTAGGTATTCACATCATCCAAGATCATCTGTACTGACGACTTAATGTAAACACAACTTCCATTGTATTCTTCCAGGTATCCGTATGGGCAGCCTGGGCCTGTTCCTGCAGTGTGCTACCTCAACCTTCTTCTCCCTGGTCATGAGTCGCTTGGTTCGACACTTTGGCTCTCGGTGGGTCTACATGAGCAGCATGGTGACCTTCACCTTCTCTGCTTTGGTCATCTGCCTGTCCAAAAGTGTGGTCTTGGTCACTGTAATGGCTTCCCTCACTGGATATGCGTACGCCACACTGCAGACTCTGCCCTACACGCTCACCTGCCACTACCACAAGGAGAAAGAGGTACGTAAAGATGTCTTAACTATGGAGAATGTGTCCACATGTATTTTTCTAGGCCCTTAATCTGTATATTTTGGCGACTTGACACCTTTCTTATCTCATTTCAGATCTATATGCCAAAAAGGAAAACCAAAAGCGTGCATATAAATGGTATTCCACCCAAGCGGGACTATTCGCCTCCTGTGGAAGACGAGCTCCCTTTGTTCAACAAGGACAGTTATGAGTACTACCCGGGTCCCCTGAAGCAGAACGGCTCGTCTCACAGCCCCGGTGGCACGGAACAGGAGGAGGTGGAGTCGGGGTTTGAGAAACGTGGCGTGGGTTTGGACTTTGCCATCTTAGACAGCACCTTCCTCCTCTCTCAGGTTTTCCCCACCCTCTTCATGGGCATGATCGTTCAGTTTGCGCAGTCCGTCACTGCCTACATCGCCTGCTCCGCCATTTTCGGTGCCATCGCCATCTATTTGGGCAGTCAAATCACCTTTGACCAAAAGGACCTTAAAAGCTGAGACTTGGAGGTAAAACGTGGGAGCAATGGAATCATAATATATCAATCATTCAGGTTCCATGGGCGGGAACTCAACAATGCACTACTGATTCCAGAACGCCTTGAAAAGTGTTTGCTTTTATGAAAATAAGCTCTGCGTTCGGGAAGTGTGTGTCAGGTTATAAAAGAGTGGTTACAATAGACTTTTTATCTGCCAATGAAGTGCAGTTCCGTGTTAGAGCAGGTGTTGTTACCTGCTACCTGGAGAGTCAACACCAACTGTGTGCTCAGGTCAGGTGTGGTTCTCTATGGACACAAATTAATTCTAAAGAAGTCTTTCTAAAAGAGTTTCTGACTAATCGTCTTTTTCCTCAGGTACCACAAATAGATTTACTGTTGATCTCAACCTCAGATACTTCTGGTGTTTTTTTTATTGTTCTGATCCTGAACTATCCACCATTTTTTTTTTTTTAAAAGAGCAACCTGTTTGTCTCATATCACATTTACCACTGTTTGCTTGCATTTGTCTATCAAGGATGGAAAACAACGGGGGTACTCCAATGATTAATTATTGCCTACATTTCCCTTAATACAGCTATATACAGGGCTTCTGACTGTATATACGTTCAAGGTGTCGCTGCTGGAGTGAGGGCAGGACGTGTACAGTACTCGCTGGTTACATGATGCATGAACATGTAGGCTATGTTTCTTCAAATGTTAGGTATTTTTCAATTTTTCTGCTGCAAGCCATTGCATGCACCACAAACACTCTGGCACTTTAGCCAGTCCGTCTGATTTGGTTAATCTCATTGATAAATACCATGTTGTGCCAAAAGGGTATCAAGAAGTGAGTTTGGAGCCCTGCTGAATAATCTTTTTTATACCTTCCCTACCTAAGTGCCATCATCTTTAAACTCCATGCCCTCACTTTAATTTGCAGCTTTCCTTTTTATCTTTTCAATGTAATTTAAGATCAGGGTTTTTCTCTGGGACTTGACAAAGCTCCTCGAGTACGTCATAAAACACTTTTACAGGCTGCATAGTATTCCCCATTACATGACTTGTATGCATACCTTTAAAAAAATGCAGCTGTAATCTGATGTCCCCACTATCTAGTGTCATCTACTAAATAATAAACAGTTTCACTGTAAATACTTTGTATACAAACTTACTGTATATCCCTATGGGAATTTTGTTATGCAACCTGTTGAGGTGAGGTTATCGACTGGCGTTTTTTTAGAAAGAAGCTGTTTACTGGAACTGGAAACACTGCATTAAACGTCCTCTGTCTAGATAATAAACAAATCATCTAGTCTAGCGGGCTGCTCATCCTGTCCAACTATGCTTCTGATCAGGACAGTCGTCTCAGGTTAGTACATGTTTGTTAGTATCCCATCCTGTCTTCATGCCACTGAAAATACGCTTTCCCTGCTGCTTAAACCTTTATGTTTTACTGTTTTCTCAAATGACAATCTAGGACATCCGGATGGACTTGTTACATAGTGCTGTATGTAAACATGTAGGGGGATTTCTGATGGAAGCTCACTTTATAGCAACCATTCCTTAAAGACCAAAAACAATGAAAATAACGCAGTAAATAGCAATATTTGGTTACTGAGAATGATGCAAGAGAAAGCACTGTATATTGAATCCAGAAGCTGAAGTGTCAGAAAAAAGGTTGTTTTACAAGTGCCTGTACATTTTTCAAACATTTTTTTTGTACATATGTATTTATTTATTATGCTTTTAATAAAAAATAGCGCATATTAAACTATTGGCCTCTTTGGCATCTTTCTGAGGTGCAGGGGCGAAAACGGTTTCTGTGAAAAAGATAAATGATTTGTATAGATGTGGTATAGAAGCATCATCAAACTATAATTTATTTTATCATTACACATTTGATCTTGTTGCTTTGATTACTTCACCATCATATTGCAGAACTTGTCAGACATGTCCCCCTGTGGTTGTTATTCACATGAAAACCTGAATGGCTGAGAACCTTATTCCTGACACACAACTGAAACGTTGCATCTTTTTTTTTGTTGGTGCAAATAAGAAACCATCATTTTGATCAATACTGCTTTATCTAGGTCTTTATAACCACTTCTTTCTTCTTAACTGAGATCTGTATTATTGTTCAACATAACAAAAACACTACATTTATCTTTATGGGTGGAGCTGTTTTCTGTCTCTACTCTCAACCAAACGGTTTAATTTCATATAAAGAAAGTGCCAATGGTGTGACTATGTTAAGGCCAGAAGTCATTGTGTTTTGATGTGATTGATCAGGTTTTTATAATACAACTATTGTCATACCATTTCAGTCACATGTGTGTTCATAAATGCATTCAGCCATAACACAAAGTTGTATTACATTTTAACGATATTTTCAGCAGATTGTGTATTACAGTTACCAAATAGATTTTATACAAAATAAATGAACTGCATTGTTAATGAGATGTTGTCCTTGAGTAATTTTATCAAACATTGTCCTTCTCAATATTAAAAATAATAATATTCATTTGGATTATTGTTCATTATTAATGCATACCGTTTTTGAACTTGATAATAATGTTGTCTGTTTATATCAAATGATGGTAATGATGTGCATTCTTGATTATAATCTTCATTTTTAGAGTTTTAAATGTCCAAAAATCCCTATGTATTTTGGTGAACAGACCCTACAGACACAAAGTAAAGGCTGTACACAGAACTAGAGCCAATGAACTTGTAAATGGCGCCCTCCTTTGGTAGTCTCGGGGAACTGATGTGTGCAGAAGAGCCTGCTGGTGCGCAACTGCACTGACCTCACTGACGCATGGGCATGCTGCTGGTGGCATTATCTATTACATGGAAAAGACGATAGGCTTTCATGTTGCAGGGAATGGCATCCTGACAATGTGAGCCATTTCATGACGGGCCTCTCCAGTTTGTTCCTTGTAGTTCTCACGAATGCACTATGGGAAATGCACCGGTTATGGTGGACTATAAAAATATGATACTTTATTAAAATGCCAGCCCGGGCCTCCGTTACCCAACCTTGCTATATAGAGCTGAGGGGGGAGTCTTGCTCAAGGGCACGTCAGCAAGGCGGGTGCTGACCCACACTGAGGCCTTGAACCCTGATCTTTGCGGATCGGGGGGGGCACCCTTCTGATAATCTCTTTTGTATGCCCAGAAAACCCCACATTTACTGAGGGGGAAGTTCTCGAACGTCGCAGCTGAAGAAGTGGGACCACAAGAGCCCTGTCATTGCTCTCCGGTGACGAGTAGGCCTGTTTTTACACCTTCCTTCTAAATAAGGAAGCGGCCTGACAGACATATGACCACCGACCCAATTTGGGAGCTGCCCCATCGCGGCCCACGGCCACTGAACGTCACCAATAAGCTTTCTCCCCTTCCAGTCCAGCTTTGACAGTTAGACTATTCCCCCCCCAACTCTCCACACACACTTGGTATATTTCCTGCTGTCAGCACCTTCTCTACCCTTGCATTGTCCCAGCGGTCTGCATGATGTCATCCAGGGATGCGTTCGCCCTGGCAATGTTGAAACAGGGTTTTTGGTGAGAGGTAGAGGATTTATTCCGAAGTCTTACCGAGAGGGGGGGAAGAGAGAGAGAGTGTGTGTGTGTGTGTGAGAGAGAGAGAGAGAGGCGCGGAGGAGCTGCAAAACATGGTAATCACCGGCACCAAGCTCACCATCACCATCACCATCACCTCCAGCTCTGCCGCGCACTCTCCCGTCTCCTCTCCTCCTCTGCACCGGGGCTTGCGTTTCATGCCCAAAGCCCTGATCCGCGCTCCAAAAATAACCCTCAGCCAGCATGCCGAAGGAAGCAAAACAAGAAGAGCGGTATTTTTAGGGTCATTAATTTCGACCACGTGGCCCGAAGGTAAACCGGATGGCCGTTGCGCAAAGGCTCCTCGTCAGTATGTCCTGCGAGGCCGGCACGCCGCACTGGACGCTGACCGCGGTGGTTCTTCTGGGCTTTCTGCTGGGGATCGTGTCAGCGTACCCTTTACCGAGCAGCAGGACAAATGCAACTTTATTGGAGAAACGATGGGAGACCCTCTTCTCCCGCTCTGTACTGGGGATCTCCGGGGAGAAACCGGAGCTGAACTGGGAGACTGACTATCTGCTGGGCATCAAAAGAGTGCGGAGGCTCTACTGCAACGTGGGCATCGGGTTTCACCTTCAGGTCCTCCCCGACGGCAGGATAAACGGTGTACATAATGAAAACCAGTACAGTGAGTTAAACCTCCCCCAATGTAATGCAATTAGGAAAGAGTCAATAAGCATGGATCTATGATGAGCAGTCTAGTGTATCCCCTCTATTAATGTGCATGATCATATGTCATCCGACTCTGATGGAGATGGAGAATGAATGTCTTCCGAGGGAAATACAAATCTATTAGAAATAAGTATATCCATCAGTGCTGAGCACTCCCTTTCCTCCCCCTCTCCCCCAAGCTCAACCATGACATGAATGTATGGACGCTTTTAGACACAACTTATTTTTACGCAGCCCTGTGAGGGCGGTCCAGAGACCAATAGCCGTGCACGTCAATGCAATTACTGCGATTATTGCAATAACCACAATGCGCTTAATTGCCGCGCGCCTGGGTGCAAATGTAAGATGCGGTGAAAGATGCAGAACAAAGGCTCGGCATGCATGCGCAGCAAACTGCAAGGTTACACCCATAGACGCAGAGAGACAACACAATGCTACAGTCACCATGATAAATCAACACGGTCGGTGAGTATTTTATTTTATTTTCACTCTAATGTCATTATTCTTTGTCTTGCATCAGGTTTAATAGAGATCTCCACCGTGGACAGAGGAGTGGTGAGCCTGTGTGGGGTGAAGAGTAAGCTGTTTGTCGCAATGAACAGCCGTGGGAGGTTATACGGAACGGTAGTATGCACAGTATTTCATTTATTGTCCAGTAATGTTGGTTATTGGGAGCCTGGAAATAGGACGCACTTGAAGCTCTTTTATTTGGGATGCTGCCCTCTCTGCTGTTCATTATGTGTTGCGAAATCCCCTATATTTTAATATCATCAGGAATTTATAAAGCTCTATTTCAAGCAAGTATGCTAGGGCCTGGTGGCCTATGGGTAAATAATGATGAGGTTAACAGATGCGTATGTGTGTAAGAGGGGGAGGGAAACCCCCCTGACGCAATGAAACCTGTCAGCAGAGCTGGAGATCGATTTTAACGGCAAAGCGTTTATTTTGAAGTGCAGTGCACACAAACACACATCAGTGAAAGGCTCAATTTACAAACGGCTCCTTCTCCAGCCTCCAAGTAATCTGAAACAGGCCTTTTAAATTCAAGTGAATGCCTTTTATTTAGTGAACATTTTTTAATAAACTTTATCTCCTCATATCCTTAAGATTGTGTGCCATTCTCAGCAAACTGCAAATGTACTCGTTCTATTGTCATCCTCAAAGAACACCTCGATTTAAAACATGGATACACTTTAGCTTTACAACAGTGATGGAGCTCTGACAGTTTACAGGTTTCCTAAAAGGTGTAAGAGCACCAATGAGGATATATACTGTTAATATTACACAGATTTAAAACAATTTATTTAGGAATAGCTACAGAAATCAACCTCTTAAGTTATGTGATCATTTTTATTATTATTATTTCATTATCTGTGTGTAAATGTGAGTCCCTCGATCCTAATGTTGAGTATGGATGTTTTTAAATATGAAATTCTGCTGGCATTTTGCACCATAACGTCTTAACTCTTTAACTCTATCAAACACACTTCATTGAATTATATTGCAAATCTTTTAAGTCAGCATTACTCATTTGTACGCGGTGGAAGATGTAGTTGGTTTGCTTCTGGAGCAGTGACGGTTATTAATATACAAATGTTCCTGTACATGGGGGGGAAACATTGTGTTTAGTAGAGCCCTGCTGACACATAGCCGCTGCTTTGCTCGCTGTGGCCAACATATTTGACAGACACAATGTGAGCCGGTTATCTCCTCGTGAGTGATGAAGCGTTAGCTTGTGAGTTGGCTTAGGATCTGATAAGAGATTGAATTAGGCCACATGGCTCTGATGGGGAGTGTTTGCTGCACACTGTACAAGACATGCACTGTCAGCACTGTGGCAGGAACGTCATATTGTTCTCAGTGGCAAATTAGTGTATTTAGATTAGTGTGATTATATTGATACCCCACTATCTGTCTGTCAAATTAAAAGCTGTGGAAAACCATTAGCTTAGTTTAGCATAACAGCTAGAATCATAGGGCAACACTCATCTCTTTGGGTCTGTAAATGTTAAAAACATGGATCTATCAGCCCCAGTTATGCGTTAAACAGGCATTGTAGTAATATGTGGTTATGTGCGGACATAAGATTGTAAACTGGTGATCTTAAAACGTGTTGGTATGACAGATTAAGTTCCCTTTAAACTGGGCCATGCTAGCTGTTTCCAGTCTTGATGCTAAGCTAATCATATCCTGGTTTTAGCTACATGTAGTACAAACAAGAGAGTGGTGGCAATCTTTTTTTCTAACAAAAAAAAGGTTTAGTTTTCCTCAGACTAACATTTGATAGAAATTTGGCAGACACAATGTGAGTCTATTATCTGTTTATGAGTGATGAAGTGTTAGCGATTCATGTGCTAAATATCAGCAGATGTATTAGAACACATCTAATAAGAATGCTTTGTGCTACTGGGACATTGCATAAAGATGACTCTTTATTGTCTATGTTGCTCTGTGTAATCTAAATGTGTATATATATATTTGTATGCATTGCACACTATTTTTTAGAGAACCTTTGAACTATTTGTCATCATATCTTTAAACTACAAACTGTCTATTTTTCTTTAAGCAGTTCATTCAAATTCCGACTGTCTGTCTCTTTGTCCTCTCCAGAAAGTCTTCCATGACGAGTGCCAGTTCAAGGAGAGCATGCTCGCCAACAACTACAACGCCTACGAGTCTCTGGTTTACAGAGGCTCCTACATAGCACTCAGCAAGCATGGCCGCGTGAAGAGGGGCCACAAGGCCACCACTGCCATGACTGTAACGCACTTCCTACCCCGGATATGATGAGCAAAAACTGGCAATAACAAACTCTTTTGCACATGTGGAATATTTCCCAGGTAACATAAATACCATATACGTACGTACAAACACAAAAGACAACACAGACTGTAAAAGAAAGAAATACCACTATATCTGATAGTATTTATTCAAACTTTATATGTATATTTGGGTAGCTTCCTTTGTATTAGAAATTATGGAAATGCCATTCTTTGCTGCTTTTATGATTTTCATAATTTTGTGATTATGGAGTGGATGGAGAGGCGTCATTCATCCCCAGTTTATATGGGTGCTTGCTGGAATTGGTTGAGTCCTTGGCCTGTCCGCAGATGACAGTTCATCCTTTTGGAAATGAAATGGATACGTTATTACCTCAAAGCACTATATCCTGAGAAGAAGAGCAAGAAGAAAAAGAGAAATGTGTGCATGAAATTTCGACAGAGAAGAATGCCTGTTTACTGAATATGTTTCTGTTGTCATCCATCAAAGACTTGAGCACTTCCCTTCCTCTTTGTTCAATTGTCTCCTTCACGGTCAGGGCAACTACAGCGTTTGCAAATATGGCGGTGTTTTTTCTTTGCTTTGTCATGAGGTGGTGGTGGTGCCTTGAATTCCTACTTGCGGCCCCTTACCCTTGCATGCAAGAAACGCGGTGCTCAAGTCAGAAATAGGAATGAAACGCAAGTCATCTCTCCCTCAGACACCACCGGGAGGCTTTAGCCCAATTCCTGAAGGGCCAGAGGTTTCTCCACTTATTTTCTTTCCATAATTAGATCAATTAAGTCATTGAGACTCTATACTGCACAGAACCCAGTGGAGCCTCTTGTTATTATGGAAAGCTAGATTTAGAGTCAGCATCCCCCCCCCCCCCCATCATGTCCAAGGGAGCTTTGACAATCCCCGGTTTTACTTTTACAATGAGTGTGTGGTATATACAGTATGTGGGCATGCTTTTATTTCAAGTATGTGTGAGGAATTACACAGATGGAGAGCTGCTCAACTTGAAAAGGGCAGCTCAAGCGAGCGTCTGTGTAACAAAATATCATCGACCTGTCACTATAGAGAAAGATTGTCCTCTGTTTCTGTCTGCTGTGTACTTCCCTCCAGTTCAAACTGAGTTGGTCAAATATGGTGCATCTGGTGTATAGCCTTGGTACTTTGACAATTTATAAGGTTTCTCTTTTTGCAATGTTGACCTGATAGCAAAGTGACAGTGGGAGCGGAGGATTTCACACTGGTTTGAGTATATTTGGCACATTTATGCAGAAACAAGTGAAGTTACACAGGAGGTGATTGAGTTGTCAGTTCACTGTAAATATAATGGTTTGCTGCATTCATTTGAAGTTGTGTAGGAAACTGCTTCACAGTTCATGACCGTGATGGTCTGTCTGACTTTTCAAAGATGTTGACTGCGCTTTTGGATCCAAGATTTTAAAGCTACGTATACATTGTCATGCATATATTTTGTAAATGCAAGACATATATGGAAGCCCTGAGAGGCAAGTGAGGAAAACAAATCTGCAGATATTTTTAAATCTGATCTATGTGCTGCCCAGGATAATCTCTTCAAGTTGCTTATACATTTTTAGTTAGGTAAAAACCAGTTCTGCTGTTGAATAAATGTTTCTTTTTTGTCAGGAGAATTTTTTCCTGGTTAGTTATGGTTGAAACACGATTTATACATATATTGATATAATCATAATACATTTAGCCTGAAGACACACAGTAATATGTACCTTGTGTTTAGAGTGGAGGAATACGTTTAGTCGTTTAAAGGAAATGGGCTAGTATTACACTTCAGCCTCTTGTTGCCAAAATCAGTATAACTACAACAAACACTTGAGAAAATGTGTAACTTTCCAAAACCAGGACATTATTATAGTTATTCTTTTAATTTAAGGAAAGTAAAATGATTATCCTTGCAAACCTTTTTTAATCATATTTAAATAATTTCTCTCAGGGCCTCCATAGCCACAGTTAAGCTTCTTATAATTATGAGCAATGTTGCAAAAAGCAGTAAACAAGGGTTTTTGTTTGCAATGTTCATTCGGACTGTGTGTATGCAGCATACCATACTTGAAGTGCTTGCACTCCTCTTTCAGATAATGTAGTTTTCCATTGTGGAGACCGGGGTGAAAAGGGCAAAGAGCAAGCAAAGTTGAAGATAGCAATGATGTACAGAGGACTTATAAGGAACTCTGCATGTGGCACTGGTTGTTTGTTTAACTCGGCAAGGATGTGAATAATGCGGGGTAAAATACCTGAGCATCAGAGGAGCGGGCCCCTTGCGCGTCGACCTCACACTGGAGGGTCAGCGCAGTGGGTTCTCCTCCTATTCATCTCAGCCATTTATATACCAAGGTCAAATATATGGGCTTTCTTTTCTTTTCATAACTGATGTATGCATGTTTTCTGGACGATGTTAAACCACTTTTTTTGTTTTCCGGGGCTCTGCACCTGTTGTGTTATTTATTGATCAAGGCATACATGTTTGTCTTGTAATGTGCAATGCAGATGTGAATGATTCTGCACCTTTCTCGTACTCCTTTATACTCCTGAGCAGAGTCTTTTTAATGTCAAATATGGCATGATAGAGCTTGATTTTGTTTCTATGATTTTGAATTCAGTTGTTACATTGTGGTACTTGACTTGCAATATTCTGTACGTAGCAAACCACCAGTCAAGGCCAGTTTGTGAAATATGGTAAAGGGAAAGTAGCCAGGCTGTTATAGATATACTGTATGTTGTCATATTTGACCTTGTGCCCTTTCTAACATTACTGTAACGCACTGACTAAATGTCTGTGAGTAGGACAGTTCATGTGCCCTTTAAGCTCCAGCTTGTGTCGAGTAGCAGAGACAAACGTGCGGTATCTTTCCAGAAGAAGTGTGTTTGTAAGCAGGTGTGTGTGTGCGTGTGCATACTGAGCCCGCTCCTGTCATGTTCTGTTTCTGCCAAAGCGACAGTAGAGATGGTATCAGATCAATTTACCTTGAGTCAGGAATAACAGGGCATTGTCTGACTGCGCGCTGATGTACTGTACTCTCCTCACAGTAGAGGATACAGACGAGAAATAGAGGAAAAAGGCATAACGTAGGCTATTAGCGGATTTCTCTCAGAAGAAAGCACTGACTGGTTTGAGCTGGTAGTTATGTAGCAAAATGATCACTTAAAAAAACAATCGAATGCTTCCAGGAAAGGGACTCTTGAGGTGAACAGGTTGTTTGATGGACTGAATACTGTGATCTAGAGAGCAGCTTGACACTCCCGGGCTGTCAGGTTTAATGTTATTGAATATTACACCACTGATAATTGGTCAGTTTTTCTTGTTATATACTGTGCATAAAAGTGCACTTTGATCAGCGAATGATCACTTGTAGCTTTTTATGGACTAATTTTGTGGCAGTGAGGATTTGGCTGAAGGAGTGTTTGTGGCTGATTTGTCAGAGTATACAAAAGGTGCATTTAAAAAAATGTGTTTTTGTTTATGGTGCCACTTACTGAGCAAGGGCGGATTATATTTCTAATCCCTGACTGGCAAGTGGAAAAATACATTTTGGTGATCAATTGTATTAGCCTGATCTAAAAAATATATTGTCCTGTGTTTATGACAGGTGAAAAAGCGTTTGTTGTTGTAGTACCTATTTAGGCCACATGAAGCCGAAGTGCAACACTACATTTATGTCCTAGGACTAAAAACATGAATGTTTTCTTCCACTTCACTTTACATTTGTCCCTAAATTCTGAACACAGAGTACATACAATCCGCATTAATTGGGCGATCTAAAATCAGCAGGAAGAAAACATGATAGAACACTAGGAGCCGTGCATTACAACACTACAAATTATCCTGACAAAACCGTTTATGTTCACCTGGGAAATGTCTCCCCACCTGTTTCACATACAACTAAAGGTTCCTGGCTTCCGTAGTTTCCCTTCATACTCTTTCATCTAAACAAGCAGACATGCAAGATCAAAAGTGCTGTTTTTGACAACATTGTGTTTATGACTGTATGACATTTCTGATTTAGTGCTGTATTTTTCAGAGAACACTGCTAGCACAACAAACGATGAGTTGAATGGGTATTGCAAAGTAAGAATGGCCCCTCTAAGCTGTTTACACCGAAAGCTACTCAGCTTGGTGTCAGATTTTGAAAGCTTGAGAAATATGACTCTGTTAGAAGTCCTACAACTTTAGCATGAAGCTGTTTTGAGGCAGAAAAGGTTGTACGATAGAGCGGTAACTGAGAGAAGGTAGTTAATGGTATGTCACCTTTCAACATTAACCCTTACTTCCTTGATTCCACATTATGCACATAGAGTTCTGAATGGACTAGGTATATGTCCCCCCCCCTTTTATTTAGGATTCAGTGTCTTGATTTTGCCATTGTGCTAATCATACCTGTTCGGCTAGTTTTAAAATGTGTTGGTTCGCAGGGAACTAGAGGTCTGTGGGAGGATCTGGGATCAGATTGGTGTGTGTGTGTGTGTGTGTGTGTGTGTGTGCGTGACCCTGTGTGCCGGCAGCCTTTGTGTTTCTCTCTCAGTTTTCTATTCCTGCACTGAGGGGAGAGTGCTTCCTCTGAGTCCCCCTCCTCTTTTTTAACATATACCTCACCTTCTGCCTTAGTTCCGATTATTGAAATGATTGTAAATTAGTTTGAAACAACAGACTTCTCCAATCATTTGTTTCTGAAAAAAAGATGATGATGAGTAAGTAAAAAAACTATATTACAAATGGTTTTCCTTTTATTTTTGTACGTATGTGCTGTGCACAGCAGTCGACTGTATTCCTGAGATGATAATAAAAGACGTTTTTTAAAAGCTGTTTTGTGATCGAATGCTTTAAAGTTGCCCTTGTGCTAAGTCATGCTTCTTGTTCACTTGTTAAACGTTTGACCTCAAACCAAAGTCACGTACAGTTAATTACCATCAGTATATGTGACGCCTTCTTCTGGTAAAGAATCTGGTTTGTTTCCAAGTTGCTTTTCACATACATGGAATTGGTTTTGTGCAAAGACAAACAGAAACAAATATGTACCCTGTAACTTTAAAAATAGAAGAGCTAAGAAGGAATGTGCAACGGTTATTTGATTAAATGTTTAAGGTATTAGGAATACAAATATATCTATATATACAGCTTTTGAAAAAAACAAGAGACCATTGCAAGATTATCAGTTTCTCTGGTTTGACTATTTATAGGTATATGTTTGAGTAAAATTAAAAACATTTAAATTGTATTCTATAAACTACTGACAATATTTCTCTGTGTTGGAATTCAACAGACACTGGAATGGAACGGCTGCCATACATGTAGAGATTGATATTTAAGAATAATGTGGAGTGGGCTCTTAATCTTTTTCAGAGCTGTATGCTTACAATGAGAATCACACCGAAACGTGTGTTAATGCATATTTGAAGGGCAACTTTCTGAGGAGTCTGAGAGAAAATTCAGATAATAATTAACCTAAACAGAAATGAGATCACATTTTGCACTAATACTTTATTTTATATATTTTTCTATTCTTAATACATTACTCGTAATTTCATAGCAACTTTCCTGGACGTGACGTCATATTTTGTCTCTAATTCTAGGTAAATAGAAGTTGTGTTCATTTGGTACACTGCTATTTCATTCAAATGAATTAAATACTAAATTAGATTAATGTACCGTCTTTTAGTAAGGGCACTTAAGGTCAGCCGGATGTGCTAAAAGGTCAAACTTTTTCTATAAGCAACCATAAAAGACAACATATACAAAATAAATATGTATATATATTCACCCGGTTTAAATAAAGCAGCTCTTCCAAGGAAATTCCTCTGAAGATAAACTTGCTTTTCCAAGTCAGCACAGCAAACTAAAAACAACTCAGACCTTCGTCTTTATTACACCTATTTTTAGTTCTCAGTTACGTAGTTCTTTCCAGGAAAGCTTCAAGACATTATTAAAAATAACATACCTGGAAATAAAGTGGTATACTCAGTATTGCTGTTAGTGTTTTTTCTCCATCAGCAAGCAATATATCACTCTCCATGAGGAGTCATTCTCTTCCAGGGACCAGGGTGTAGAATGTCTCTGCTCACCATATACAGGTGGTGATGCATTTACATGTTTACAGCCTTAAAATATAGTCATCTATCACATGTTTCCTGCTCATAAGGTTATTTCTAAGCTCTAAAAATCCACCTTTCTGGAATGTCAAAAAACATTTTCTAGTACAGTAAAAATAGCAACAAAATATCTCAAATGTGCTGCGGTGAATGCAGTGGTGAATTGTAACTTAGTACAATTAAGTACCGCACTTTAGTAAAAAATGTATTTCTTGTACTTTACTTGAGTCATTTTTGAGTATCTACCCTACATTTTTGGGAAAATGTTGTACTTTTTACTCGACTACATATATTTTACAGATTTAGTTTATTCATACAAAATATAAATCAACTAGTACAATATCATGTATTATTACATGTTAAGCTAGTATATGTAAAAAACCAAGGTATGAACACATGAATGCCTCAATAATTATAAAACAATCATTTTAAATGTATGGTTCTTGAATTGGCCATTCGGCATAATGAGTACTTTTTCTACTTTTACATATAACTGAGTATTTTTTACACTGTAGTATTGCTACATAAGTGAATCATCTGAGTACTTCTTCCACCTCTGGGGGAACGGAAGTGAGAGACGTGGGAAGTGTGTACAGATAATTAATAAGCTATGAGTCACTCTTCATGATGCAGGAGTGTGACACAACATAACTACTCATTTAGCATCTGCCATTCACACCTTAGCTTTAATGGTCCCCTATTATGCAAAATGCACTTTTTGATGTCTTTTATACACAAATATGTGTCCCTGGTGTGTAAGGAGACTCACAAAGTATCAGAAAAATAAAACCCTCTCTCTTTTCCTCCGTACCCAAATCTCTAAAAACGGGGGTTCAACGGAGCTGATCCAGATTTGCTGCGGATTTAACGTCATATCGGAAATGTGGGCTGGCTTTTCACCCACGGCCCTATCAGAAACGTTGCTATCAGAAACAATGCGCGACGTGTTTTGGAAGTAATATGGTCTGTGTTTACATTAGCAAGCATCGCTAACACTCAGAGCTAACCTGTACTGGAGAGAGTATGAGTAAAGAAGCAGGATATAAAAAGGTACTCACCTTGTGCTAAACCCGGGAGAGAAAAAGCATTTGAGCTCCATACTGTTTCAGGAATAATCCTTGATGTGGTTTGGAACAAAATATGGCATTTAATCACGGCAGCATTTAGCTAATTTTGTGCCAGTAGAAATCTCTCTCTTCTCTTCACAGAGCTCACAGCTTGCCTGCACGCTCCAAAGGGGCGTGGCCACAGCAGCTCAGGTACATTTAAAGGGCCAGACCCAGAATCAGCACTTTAGTAACAGGGCTGAAATAGAGGGGTATGAGGCATGGCTACAATGGGTGATCTGTTTGGTATTTTGAGCAAAACACTTCAGAGACAAGTTTTGTATAGATATGGCCCTATAATATATTGTTCAAATATAGCATGATAGGTGAGCTTTAAAAGCAAGTTTGTCACTCTTACCTATCTGTCTTGATCACATGATACAGGTCAATAAATCACAGTCTATCATCCTTCCTCTTCTTCTGCCGTCTCCTCATCCTCTGAAGTCTTTATGGTTGATTTCTTAGATTTGAACAAAGGAATAATTAGGCTTCTAAGGCGTTGACAGTAATAAACCTACACTCACAGATGAAATGGTCTTTTAGAGCCTGCAGGAATTCCATCCAGGCAACCCTTAACCATGGAAAAACAGGACGGCTTTGAGTCATTTCGTAAATGAGTTAGCCGGTTCATCGACCCTCTGTTTAAATAGACCTGTTGGACTTTCTCCTCCTTCAGTAGCTGCCCACACACCAACCTGAACATTTGTGCAGTTCAGAGTAGAGAGCACGCCACCCCATTGATCATGCACCTGGCTTTCTTCTCACTCATCCTGATAGCCGTACGTATGTCTGTACCGGTGGACTGCTCACCGAGGCCCCGGGGCCCCGAGCAGCTCATACAGCGTCAGCAGAGCAACTTCCCCAGAGAAACACAGGATGATACAGCTGGACGCTTCTTCCTGGGGATGAGTGGATCAATAAGAAAACATATTCACAGAAACTTTCTGGGTAAGTCTGCATACATCTATTAAATACTTATCTTGTTACAGGTTGTTTTATAGATTTTTAGAAAATAAGTGCTTTTTTTAACAGTAAAGTCAATAATTCCTCTGTGAAGTTTAGCTCATTTTATTGTCCAATGCATACTTTGCCATGTCATCAAAACAAGCAAACAGGATTCATAGCAGCTAGAAATGTTCATGACAAAATAATATTCTAAGTACGCAGTACAAAATAAGATTTTCCCATCTAAAACTAATGAGTATTTACATTTTTTTTTTATTTTTGTATTTTTCCAGTTATTTTGCCAGTGCGGACAGATACAAGCAACTTTGTGTCAATATTTGATTTGAGAAGAAAGCGGTTCCTGTGTATGGACTCAAAGGGGGAGCTGTACAACTCTGTGAGTATATATTTTAATGATGCACTTATTTTGAGAGGAAATGAGTGCACCATTAACATTAAAACATTGTGTCTGCTTTTTCTTTACCAAACAGAGGCAAAAGGACAGAGAAGATTGTCTCTTCCAGCGCATTTGGTTAAATCTGTCCAACCAACGTGACGTGTTCTACTCCACAAGTGGGGGCCGGCTGCTCAGACTGGAGGCAGCTGAGCTGAGAGGCACTCACCAGGAGCACCCCGGACCCTCCCCCGGCCTGGTGGAGCAGCTCCTGGGTCCCCTGGTGAAGAGACACAGGCGGAGCGAGGGGGTGAACCCCTCTGATCCGCTAAGATCTCAGCCCTCACACTCTGCCACGGATCACCAGGATGTGGATCAGGGGCAGCCGGACCAGGACCAGGCTGGTGCTGTCTCCAAGGAGACCATCACTTCCTGTGACGACCCCCTGAGGGTCCTACAGCCCAACGGGCCCGTCAGTCCTGTCAAGACTAATATTGCAGATCGAGCAGAACAAGAATAAGATACTGACCTTGTGTTCAGTGTGTGAAAAGTTAAGAGGGGCTGCAGGTCTTTATGTTCTAAACTTACGTTGTGCTTGACTGCAGGGGGTTACTTCTTATCCTGCAGGGTCAGTCAGAGACAAACAAAAGGGATTTCAATATTTCACAACTTCTAAAAATAGAGATAAGATCCTTGAATCTGAATTTTCAGGACTTGTTTCAATGGTACTATAAGGCTTTGTAATGCGCTCCTGTTACATAACAGCAGCTGTACCGATGTGCTGTTTGAACAGCAACGTTCAACATGACCATGCAGAGTTTGGTCCCACGTCCCGCTGACCTCTTCCCTCAGTTAAAGTTTAAACCTTGGGTCAGATGTGGTAATGTTTGTTCTGCATATATAAAAAATGTGTAATCTGTAGGTAATTCTGCATTTTTTTCAGAAATAGAGCAGGTCAAACTGGAGACGTGAATAATCTGCCACACACTCATGAATACAATGCAATTACGTCAGGTGCCGGACACCAATAGTCACAGTGATGAAAGGTATTTATTTATTAAAATGACTTCATGTTTAGCCTACTGTTTTATTATTTATATATTTCAAGTTGTATTGTTTTGTTCTGATGTGGAAAGAATAAATGTTAACATTTCTGTGGATTGTGTCGGAAGTGCTTTCTTTAGTTGTTGCTTCCAGATGCACCTATATACAGTATGATGAAATAAATTCAATTCTAACAAATTGTTACATTAAAGGTCTCCTATTATACTATTTTTAGGCATATATTATAGGCCTCGGATATATAAAAATATATAAAAGACATGTCTATGAAGTGTTTTGCTCAAAATACCAAACAGATCACCCATTCTAGCCATGCCTCATACCCCTCTATTTCAGCCCTGTTACTGAAGTGCTGATTCTCGGTCAGTAGCTGCTGGCCCCGCCCCCTTTGGAGCACGCAGGCACACTGTGAGCGCCTGCAGATACAGCTAAATGCTGCCGTGATTAAAAGCCATATCATGTTCCAAACCACATCGAGGATTATTTCTGAAACAGTATGGAGCTCAAATGCTTTTTCTCTTGCCGGTTATACCAAAAGCTGAGTTCCTTTTTTTATTTCCTGCTTTTTTACACATGTTAGCGATGCTTGCTAATGTAAACAAAGACCATACTAATTCCAAAAACACGTTGCGCATTGTTTCCGGTAGCAACGTTTCTGATAGGGCCGTGGGTCCACATTTCCGATATTATGTCATATCAATCGGACGCAAATCTGGATCAGCTCCGTTGTAGCCCCGTTTTTAGAGATTTGGGTACGGAGGAAAAGAGAGAGCGTTTTGTTTTCTGACACTTTGTGAGTTCCCTTACACACCAGGGACACATATTTCTGTGTAAAAGACATAAAAAAGTGCATTTTGCATGATAGGAGACCTTTAAAGAAAAGAAGAACTCAGGCGGCCTTTGCTTTCTTGTAATATTTACATTTGTATTGAAGTTCATTCTAACAAAATACCAGTAACAGCTTTATCAAAGGTTCACTGGAACACTTTAAATGATGTTTGCAGAAACAGAACAGAACAACAAATAGCTTGCTGCAGTCCACAAGGAAAGGCCACAACAATCACATGGTGATCAAGCACACAGCACATTAGTTATGTAAGTGGCAAATATTCGACCAGGACAAATAATGTAAAACCAAAGATTTAAATGATATGAAGTTGAACTAATGAGGAACAGTGTATGATGAGGAGTTTTATTGGAAACATATCTAAATGTTGGTAAGTATCCACTAAGACTGAACTTTCAAACAGACACATGTAAAAGCTACATTTATTAATTATACAAATGTAATAACCAATTTTAGTCTAAGAGCATTATTTGATATAATAAAGTATTTTCAATGATGTAATCACGGCAGTAAGAGCCATTGAATACGTACATTGCTTTGCATACAATCCAGTTCAGTAGTCAATAAATGATTTCAGAGTGGGATGACCAGTAGAGTGAACATACATGCTACAGTAAAACAAATATGGCATGTATGCAGTCTTATACATTTGCCCTTGCTGACCAAAGTGTTAGTTCCCAACAATGACAGAGTCACTCATTTCCAAAAAGTCAACATGGTAGCAGTTCTGCTCCGTGCTCCTACGTAGGATCTGTGAGCTTCCGGAGAGTAAATATAGCAACATGGACTCATTAGAGCAGAAGCTGCCTACGTTTACAGTAATGAACAGCCAGACAGGAACATAGTGCTCGAAGCATGACTCAGCATTAAATGCATTTTGTTGTATGCTGCTGTATCTGGCAACATGTGTTCATTTCATATTTGATCCATGTCTTGTAGATTTTAAACTGGATTTCTGAATAATTATTTAAGCATTCTAAATTATATTTAGATTTTTTGAGATTTTAAGAATAGGGATTGTCCTGATTCGTTCTCAAAGAATCGCATTGAAGCTGATCAAGGCGTTATTTGTCTGATTAGTATTGGCTTTAAAGATTTCAAACTATTAAACTCCCCCACTCCAGGCTGGGTTTCATAGTATGTGTCTCTAGATACAGAGATTGCATCCTTGCATCATTTTAGAGCTCGGATAGATGAAATGTTATTAGATATCTGTCATTGTGAATAGGTTGCTAATGTATACCCCTGTAATTATGTTGCATTGATGTCCTTTTTGTTTTCTGTTGTTTTTATGTGTAACCAACGTGCTGCAGGTCTCCCTTGAAAAAGAGATCGTTGATCTCAATGGGATTTTCACCTGGTTAAATAAAGGCTACAAACAAACAAACAAACAAACAAACAGACAAACAAACAAACAGATCTTCCCCCGGCGTTCTTTTTTATATCGATAATGCTACATTTTAAACAAGTTGACGTTAGCAGCAGGTTAAACAAGTAAGGTTCCATGAATTACATTATGAAGAGTTCATGTTCTTTTCAGTTATATTTTTGCTATGAGAAACAAATACATTTGTTGAAAGGATTCACTTTTTCAGCAACTTAAAATGGATATCTTTTCAACTTCGTAACAAAATAAATATGCAAAACGTTGAAGTACAGAACATGGGATTTATTGTTATGATTTCCTTCATCCTTGTATTGAATTTGGTATTGCGTATCATGGAATTTAACTGGTATTGGTATCACTCCTTAATATCTGATGTTGTGATTAACTCCAAAAACAGAAGTCGAATAACTTGAATGGAGGAAACAATTATCGATAAAGACAGCCTTCAAAATAAACGGCACCTAAATACTTGACCTCTTTTTCTTTGATATTTAACTTGTCAAAACATGCTTTTATTGAACAACGACGAATCACTTCTGAGGTTTGTGTTGAGTCCCTGGAGCTTTCTCCACATTGTGTGTCTCACTTTCCTCTTATCCTCATATTCCTTTCTGTAACACCTCCAGCTCCTACTGCTGCACATGGTCCCCTCGGTGGACGAACACACAGCGGATCCCTGACAGTTTGAACGTGTGATCCTCCTTTCTCACAGTGATTATGAACCGACACAGACCTGTGTTCGGACTCAATGAGAACACATGTTCTTTGCTAGAACCCGGAGGCACGGAGCAATGTAGCTCGTCCACAAAGAAGCGCAGGGCCACACACATGAGGGCCCCGTGTGTGACCACCAGAGCGTGGACCGGGACCCCCCTCACCCCGTCGTCTGCCGTCCCCTCCACAGGACTTGTTTCTGCTGGAACAGGTGGGCTTGTTTCCTCCACCCCTCTGTCTTGCCAGTGTTCGGCCCCAATTTTCTGGAGCATTTTCTCCACAAACTCTTTGACCCGCTCCTTCACCTGGACAAAGCAAACATCTGTTACGGCATGCTTCTGTTGCATTTCCTTCTACACAAACAGCACACAAGGGAAATCTGTCTATGTGTTACACTAAATACATTTTTTTATTTTGTAGTAGTCAATTTATTGAACATGTTAGAAAAACAAACAAACAATAATTATAACAAAAAGAAGCAAAATAAAAACTTTCAAGGTGTAAAAAAATAAATTCTCAAATAGTTTCCGTCATGTTCAAAAGGGGCAAGAAGAAGCTTAAAAACGTTTCTGGTCCTACCCCCCTTTAGTGTACATTGTTCATGAAAATAAAAGTGTAGGTCATCGTCATCAGCAACCGTGATATTTGATTTATTGTTTTAAACAAATCATTTCTTTGTACAAAACAACCAAAAACAAATAACTTTTACATCGACAAGAAATAGCAAGCATCACTTCTCAGGTCCTGCTCATAACCATTCAGGATTTGGTTTCTAAATAATTGTTTTAGTTTAGATAAAGTTGCACAGTATTTCAGCCCATCATAACAGTTAAAGAAAATATTTTATATTACATTACAACTTTCCAGTCCAAAATTACACATCCACTTCAGTTTCATCCTGATGCAACAACCCGTAACGTGTTTAGTAAAGATGGGAGGAGGCCTGAAGGAGACAGTGATTGGGCGCTAGCTGCTTACGTCAGATCTATCTTTGTTTATCTGCATTATCATCGTGATGTGCTGCTCACCTACTGGGCTGGGCCAGAATTAAAGATCTAAAAGATTAAGCCTGACGAGAATGTTTTTAAATAGAACATCCCTCACTCCTTACGCCCCCTCACGCCCACACGTCGTGACTTTTTAATCAGGCGCTGTGACGAACACTCTGCAGTTGTTTGACGGAGGAAGAGCATGTACTTTGATACTAAGTGGCAAAATATATACACTCATGTGGATGCAAAGGGGCTCTGAGAGGGCATGATACCTCCATGCAGAGGTTTGGTTGAACTAAGGAGAGTGTTTTCTGCCACCTGGTGGTAGTGTGTGTATATTGAATCAGATTGGATTCGTATAATCAGTTTAAAGCAGGGGTTCTCAAAGTTTAATGAGTGAGGGCCAATTTAGGTACCCAATATTAGATTGAGGGCCGCCCAAGAAAAAACGGAACACAAAATAATTCCAAAACAAATCCTTTCTTTATTGTACTAACCAATTACCGCAACTCGCGAGATGCATAGTTGCCATGCAACCAGTAGTTTAGCAAACTTTCCACAAGCTGTCATTCATAATTTAGGAATGACAACCCAGGGGGCGCAGTTTTACCATTCTTAACTCTCTGGAGTCTAACCCCCTGATCCCACCGGAAGCGTCTGCGCTGCGGCGCGCTGCGACCTCCTCCTGCGTCATAACCCACCAGGCGCGTTTCAAAACGTTGCGGAAGCGGAGCGTCGTGTGTGCAGCCTCGCAGTTGTTGGATGAACGTTCCACTTCCTGCCTGCGCCGCGCTGCGCCGCGTCAAAAATAGGATTCATCCTATATTTTAGAAATTGCTTGCGGCGAGGAGCTTCTGGGACGCTTTGAGCAGCGGCGCAGCGGGTCTGGTGGAATAGCACCCATTGACTAGAGTGGCCGCGATCGCTAAAAACGCCGCAGCCGCAGCGCAACGCAGCGCAGACGCTCCTGGTGGGATTAGGGGGTAAGGGTATTTTCTCGATTTTTAGATGTTTTCTTAAATCACCTTTTTAAATGTATTTCTTCTAACATGGCACCCCATGTGTTAAATATCAAAATGTTCAGGACAATCTCTGGTCTTGCTATATATGCATATTGCTCACCTTAGAGCACTGTGTGATGAGATAAGTAGCTCAAAAGCTTAAAATGTGACATCCGATTTTTGGAAAATCTTCAAAACTCTTGTGAAAACACTATGTACTCATGTGATCGAATTGTTTTGGTGTTTTAGATTTGGTTACCAAAGTCCTAGGATCACAAAAGCAGTGAAATATTTGAATTACACTGTATATAAATGTGTTATTCATGTCTAAAATTAAAAAAATTAAATTCAAATTTAGAGTAAAACAGGTGTTTATCACTCTACTTTCACCACAGCAGGGACTGAGATACATCAGGACTGAATAATGACTTCATATTACATACCAAGGTTCATGTGATGTGTACAAATACAAATTGAGCATTCAACCTTTTTCTTTCAACCAACAATTTATTATAAATATGTTTTTTTCAACCAACTATTTATATAAATATAAGAAACTGGAAAATCTCACTATTTACAATATTGAACATCAGAACTTTCAACCAACTATTCATTATAAATGTCAAGACAGTGTCAAGGTCTTTGTCTGTCTTCCAAGACAGTGGGTCTGGCTGCTGTGTAGGTGGGGGTGATGGTGCATGGGCTGCTGTGTAGGTGGGGTGTACAAGTGCTATACGAGACCTCCACGAGACCTCCTTGCTGGCTGGGTTGAAGGTGATGGCTGTGGTGGAGCCTTTGTGCTGAGGTGTATCTTGACCTGATGGCAGCCGCAGATGGAGGCAGCTGTAGTGATGCTGGTCTGCTGGTCCTTGGTGGTGATGGCTCTGGTGAAGGCCCTTGAGCCACAGTAGATCTTGACCTGGGGGCCGGCACAGATGGATGTTGTGGCTGCTGGATAAACGCCGCCTGTGTAGGACAATAATTACAACTAATTTCATTGAAATAAAGTTCAAGTAAAATGTTGCTCAAGCACAAATAACAATGCACACATAAAAATAAAGTTTGGGAGGTTGCAGAAGGAGTCTCTCTCGATCTCTCTCTCTCTCTCTCTCTCACACACACACACACACACACACACACACACACACACACACACACACACACACACACACACACACACACACACACACACACACACACACACACACACACACACACACACACACACACACACACACACACACACACACACACACACACACACACACACACAGGTATTTCCAGTTACTTTACATTCAGTATAAAATCACAGACACACATATACATAGGCTACATCTGATTACAAAGTCTCATCTGTACAGGACGGTAAAATAATAACAGGCACACATATAAATACATCTATGACAAAGTCTCATCTGTACAGAACAGTATGATAAAATAATCGATGGCAAAAACATGTGACTGTAAATGTCTCCGTTGTGGGACGAATAAATGATTAATTTAATCATCTACACATGTAATCTCACTTTTACACACCAAAATAACGTCAACACAGAGTAAACGTTTGCTAATGGAGAGTCTATTTTGTCCCAATAAAAAGTTCATGACTATCGATAAAAAATATATATCAATAAACCTATTGTTCATTTTCGCGGTATTCCCCACACATTGCCAGTAGGCTACACTATTACTGTAATATTTACACTTACCCATGTCCAAATGGATCCTTGTTGTTGTCTTTGTATTCTTCTTCTTCAGAAGAGTCGAAGACTTCAGGTTCTGAGGCTCTATCTTCACTGCTGCTAGCGAAAAAAATCTCTAGCGAAGTCGGCAACTGTAAAGTTTTTTTTTTAGCCACTTTCTCTGTCTCTCTCTCTCTCTCTCTCTCCTCACAGATGTAAACTGATGGGAGACACGTGGTTTATGTTTTTTTTTACTTGGTGGGTAAGTCCTTAGTGATTTCTCGATGTCCATTGGTCATTTCAGACCATGATGGCTGCCGGCCGAGATTTCCTTGACAGACACACAAATCCACCAATCCCGCACAGTGTAAAGTCAAGCTGCTTTGAGCGGCCATATTGGCTGCTGTGCCCAGGTTCCAGTCTCACAGGAGATACCGCTGGAAAGCTACTCTTCCAGCGATTCCGCGGATATCTGAATCATATTTCTACTCCTTATAATCGAAAATATATGATTAATTACGTAAAATTATGCGCACCTGGACGCGCCGGCGGATTCCAGAGGGTTTTAAATTCCATTCTAATTCTTACTAGATACAACCATGGAGGATTACAATATAACGCATGCATTTCAGCGTGTCACATTAACTATCGCGGGCCGCCAGAAACATTTCCGAGGGCCGCCATTGGCCCGCGGGCCGCACTTTGAGAACCCCTGGTTTAAAGGGACCTAAAGGTCGCATTCACACCTAATAGTCCGCTTCTCTGGTGCGCACCAGATGACAGTTTGTTAAATTGTTTCATTTTTCAGAAGGTTCGGTTTGCGTTCACACAGGCACAATTCAAACGGACTATGTCATGTGCTCGGAAATGCTGTTCAACAATTGGTCAGACATTAAGGGGGTAAAAACGCGAATCCCGGAGCCTCCGCCATGGGGCATCGGCAGGTTATTTTCATGCTGTTGTTAATCTGGAGAGCATATAATCAGCAACGGCGCATAATAATCAGACAACGTGCGATACAAAACATTATAACACATATAATGAGAGACGTTCTGCAGTAAGGAGGGGGTTTCACCGACGGCAGGTGGCTCTGACTTTTATGTAGGCTATAGTTTTTAGTTTGATAGTTGTTTTGACTTTACACAACACTGTTCAACACTTCATTCTGCTTCGCTCTTTCGCTAAAGATTTTGAAGACACCCGCGTTCTTGTGACATGTAAATACTACGCTTCCTATGTTTTGGTGCGGACTGCGTTCACACCAGAGATTAACCGCTCCAGAGTTCACTAGCAAGCGGTCCGAGACCACCTATTTTAGCGGACCAGAGTCCGGTTGGTTCACTTCAGAGGTCTCGGACTGTGTTCACATCGACCCAAACGAACCGCACCAAGTGGCTAAACGCACCAGGGTTCGATTCAACCGGACTATAAAAGGCTGGTGTGAATGCGACCTAAACTCATATAGGTTCATATTTCAGTCACCAGTCTGTCAAGCTCCTGAAGTTCGTAGACAACACCACCCTCATCGGACTCATCTCTGGTGGGGACGAGTCTGCCTACAGGTGGGAGATGGACCATCTGGTGACCTGGTGCAGGGACAACCACCTGGAGCTCAACACTCTCAAGACAGTGGAGATGGTGGTGGACTTTAGGAAGAACGCAGCCCCACCCGCCCCCATCACTCTGTGTGACTCCCCAGTAACTGCTATGGAGTCTTTCCACTTCCTGGGCACCATCATCGCCCAGGACCTCAAATGGGAGCAGGACATCTGCTCCCTCATCAAAAAAGCAGCTGAAGAAATTCAACCTGCCAAAGACAATGATGGTGAGCTTCTACACCTCCATCATCGAGTCCATCCTCACCTCCTCCATCACCATCTGTTACGCCGCAGCTACAGCCAATGATAAGGGTAGGCTGCAGCGGGTCATCCGCTCTGCAGAGAAGGTGATCGGCTGTAATCTGCCATCCCTCCACGACCTGCACGCCTCCAGGACCCTGAGGCGGGCAGGGAAGATAGTGGCCGACCCCTCCCACCCTGGACACAAACTGTTCACCCCCCTCCCCTCTAGCTGGAGGCTGCGCTCCATCAGGACCAAAACCTCTCGCCACCTGAACAGTTTCTTCCCCTCCGCTACCGGCCTCTTAAACAAGGCCCGGCCCCCCAACTGACACTTTACCTCAGCCATAACGCACTCTATATGCATTACATTAATGCACACAATGTTCATACTGCTTACTGCACATATTTTAGTTTAATTTTTCACGAGGAACGTAGGAAAACATCTCGTAGCTTGAAAAATAAAACAAAATTAAGCAAAAATAATTAAACAAAATGCCTCTTGAGGGCATGAAGTGACAACAACGTTAAACATGTCTCCATTAAAGCCCATTGTAAGTTTAGCCTCATCTTTCCCCACTACAGCAGCCGCACACCTTTAGTTAATCTGCCAAAAAGGCCACATTATTAACCCGAAAGTACACAAAAAGTACACTTCAGATGCTCAAGTTCCTTGACATGCTTCACGCTTTGACATTTCACCGATATCTATTACGGTTCTTCAACAAAACGTTCACATGTAAGAGGTTTATCTCTCATTCAGAACAATGAAAATGCTCTCCTCTCACTGATTACTGCACATCACCATGGAAACCTTTGATCTCTGGACACCTCAAATATAAACACCTGTGTCATGGAACACGATGATGTCATAACATGACCAACTGACACGCTCAGAGCAGCAGACTTCAGATAATGGTTAACACAGCTCTACATCAAATCTGATGTTACGTAATGTGGTTTTACCATGGCAACGCATCCCTCGCCATAAAACAGCAGCAGACTTAAGATAATGGTTAATGGTCCTGCCCTCAACAGCTCTACGTCAATTATGGGGTGTCATCATATGCCGTTTCCATGGAAACGCAACCCTCGACATAAAACACGATGTCGCTGTAACTCCAATGGACACGGTCCGATCGTCCCCCAAACTTCGCTTGTATATCACTGGTCTATGCCTCAACAGCTTTACGCCAAATCTGAGATCTCACCATAGGCTGTTGCCATAAAACACGATGTCGCTGTAGCTCCAATGGACACGGTCCGGTCGTCCCACAATCTTCACCTGTATATCACCTCTCCATGCCTCAACAGCTCTACGTCAAATCTGACATCTCACCATATGCCGTTTCCATGGGACATAAAAGACGATGTCGCTATAACTCCTATGAAAATGTTCAAAAAGTACTCAAACTTCACATGTGTGCTAACAGTCCAGCCGTGAAGACATATACGGGACAGTTTTGAGATTTCTTCAATGGCCGTTGCCATGGCAACACAATGCTCGCCATGAAACACGGTTTTCACATAACTTCAGTGAAAATGCTCCAAACGGCCCAAAACTTCACAGGTTTGGTAACGATGCAACCATCAATGCATCTAAGCGTATTATGGGATGTCATCAAATGCAACTTTTCAGCATAAAGCATTCCCACTATCAATTTCTTCAGGAATTACATTCTCTAGTCTTATTTCATATTTCATAGTGTATATTCTATAATTCATTACATTCTATTTCCATGTAAATTACTGCTCTATTTTATTGCTATTTAACTATAATTTATTACAGTGTCCTTAAAGATGTTTTGTTTTATATTAGATAACTGAGACATGTCTTTTTTTGTAGTATAGCACACATATAATGCCATTACATTAAAAAAATACTAAAGTGTTATAAACATTGGGGGAAAAGCCGGCTTCATGTGCATATTGAACACATTATTTCAACCTCTCCTATGCTCTGTGTAACAGCCTGCAATTCAGTCAAAGTTTCACTGAAGTTTTGTCAGATGACTCACAGCCGGGTCATTCATGGCTTCCCACTGGCACTGAGGAGCGCAGGATTTCATATTTTTCTACAAGATCTTGTTGTAAATGAGACATGTAAAACTATAACATTTTTCAGATTCGATTCGTTTTTTCTGAATGAAGTGTTGGTCACACATTAGACTGATGGACAATCTGAATGATGAATGCTAGTATGTTTTGATTTCTTGTTGTTTAACAACATAAGGGTATTAAAGGTTTATGTCAGGATGTATCTAAGAAACTAATTTCAAGCAGAGAGTTTTTGGTACCCTGTTATGTCGTTTGAGCCACAACAGTGAACATTAAAGTAGTGAAAGAGAGAGAGACACATTATATAAGTAGTTAAGAAAGAGAGGAAGTCAGAGCGAGTCATACATAACATCTGTATGAATAATAAAATAACAGAAAGCAGCCTCACCTGCTCCTGAGTCTCCCCCTCTGGAGGGGTGAAGTCTAGGAAGGTCTGCCCGGCTGCCTTGGCCATCTCTCTCAGGTCCTGCACCCGCCCCCCTTCCGCTGTCCCAAAGCTCTGGAAATAAGTTATTGACTGGATGACTAAAGTTTCTTCATAAAAATTATACATATCTTCAACAAATAATTGCCACTCACTTTCTCTTTAAGTAAAGGGTCCCACACAGCCTGCAGACCAAGACAACTGGTGTTGTGTTTCATAATTGTTTCAGCAGTCTGGAAGAAACAACACACACCACCATCATCATCATTATTATAAAAAGAGAAAAATGTGGTCTAATACTGTAAAATAGAGTGTAGAGCACTTTTTGCATCTAATCATACAGTCAATTGAATATATTCTACATTGTTTGATTCATTTAACTCTACCATCATTGCTTGCTGTAAAAGGAAAGCATGTACCTGGCGGGCCCGCAACATGTCACTGACGAACACGTTGCTGAACAGGACGTGTTTCAGGTAGCAGCCTGCGGCCTCGGCCTGCTGCAGCCCGCTCTCTGACAGGGGGGCGTCGATGAGCTGACCTGCACGAGATAAAAGGGAAAGATTAAATAAAGACACAGAGAAAAAACAAGATAGTGCAGACATCTTCACTCGTACCTTGTAGCAGGCCTTCTTTGTTGTACTGTGTCTCCCCACTGCAGGAAATAAATGATTCATCATGTCAGAGTGCACAAGCTAAAAATAATAAAGAATTGTTAAAGAAGCTCGGGAAAGAGTGTCATAAATCTGTTTATGCCTTTTATGTCTCGCCTTTATTAGTGTTCTGCTCCTTCAGGCATAGGCCCTTAAACCTATTATGTTAGATATGCTCCTGTCTGTGGCAGTCTCTCCTAGACATCAATCATTTATGAAATATATGTGATTTGATTTATTAGTCCTTTAGTCCATAAAACATCATAACAAATGTAAATCCTTTCACAATTTCCAGCAGCAATTAAAGATGTATATCTATTGTGTTATAACATTGAAAACACATAGATCGAGGAACAAATAAAGAAAATACTTTTTTTAATAATATACCATACCACATACATTGCTACTCCAAAGCAAAGCAAGAAGCCATTCATACAGCTACTATTGTAATATTCGACGTATTATCAGAGATTAAAAACACATTTCTGAACCATCAAGTTTTGATTGTAATTTTACCAGAAAATGGTAACACTCTGCCCTCTCGTGGTCAATATGAGGTACTGCAGACAGAGAGACAGCCTACTGTAGCTGCTCGGTTTGAAGCTTCAATAACTTCCCTGTGTATGCTGCTGCTACAATCTCTTATTACAATTAATAAATGGCGTGTCTGTATTCATAACGTAACAACTTAACCTAACAACGTATGCTATGATACACCTGCTATGATTAGCACAGTCTAGCTGCAGACACATGCAAAACGCATATACAAATGTATCATTACTTAACATAAAAACGAGTTAATAAATCCACGGAGAGACAGCACACAGAAGATAACTATAAATAGGAGCGACAGACCAGCAGCTGATCCTGAGCTGATCCTGAGCTGAGCAGCTCTGAGCCTCTGTGCTTAACACATGTATGAATGTCAACTGCACTTACTGTCGAACAAGAGTTAGCCCAAATGTTAGCGCCTTCATGCTCTGCTGCAAGTTAACGATGGAAGAATATCGCATTGACTTTTGGCTTCAAAGGTGTCCTGAAGACGACTACAGTACACTTCTCGCGCATGGAGAGCGCGTGAACTTGAAACCTTTCGGGAAGTATGGGAAGCCAACAGGGTCATTTACGTTTTACTTTTCTTATCATGCTTTGGGTACAATAATCTTACAATTTAACAATAACACACCTTTTCAAATATGCAAAACTTTTCAAGACTTTTAAGTCTATGTTTTTTACATGATTTGTTGTCCACATATGCCTACTACTGTACTATAACTATTGTCACATTTATCGACGTATTACTTTTTATTTTTTTATTACAATTACTTTTCTGATGATATTTTTGACATACTAAACTAGAATTTTGTTAACATGTACTTTTTTTCAATATACATTACTGGGATTTCTTTAATGATATTGTTGAACTTTATGTATTTTTTTTTATTATAAGATGTGTACTATTTAATTATATTTTCGACGTACTGTAGTAGCCTACCATACTGTCACTTTTTTCATGACATTTTCGACATGACGAAATCCAGATATTTTCATGATATTTTTGCAATGCTATACTATGATTTCCCCCCCTGTTTTCTTTATGTACTATACTAAGACAGTCTTCATGATAATTTCGACATACTGTTTTATAACTTTTAAAAATATTTTTCCACATACAATACTATGATTTTTTTTCCATAAATTCTACATTCTAAGACTTATTTCCACAATATATTCGACATACTATACTTTGTGTTTTTTGCCATTCTTTGACTTGCTTCAAAATGTTTGGCATACTGTACTATGACTTAAATACTTTCATCCTTTAAAAAACCTTTTCCGCATACTAAACTAATACTTTTCTCTGGCACCAATATTATGACTTTTTAATGATATTTACCCATCCTTTACTATATACTTTACCTTTTCCATTTTTTTTGACATACTATGATTTTTTTTCTAACTATACTATGACTTTTGTAATATAATGACATAAAATAAACAAAAATATTTTTTCAACATACAATACCATTACCTTTTTCTTCATATTTCCAACATTGTGTTTTATGACTTTTTCCTCATTTACTATTCTATTAATTTGTAGGACATACGATACTATGGCCTATTTTTGTTGTCATACTATACTATGACATTTTATAATATTCTTAACACACTTTAATATTATGATGATGATGATGATGATGATGATGATGATGATGATGATGATGATGATGACTGTGACTTATTCATGATATGGTTGACACTTTATCATGACAGTTTTTCAACATACTAAACTATGACTTTCTTTCATATTTTGTTGCTATATTATAGTATGGCATTTTTTCTGAATGCTGTGTAATGATTTCAAATAACTTTTATTCATATTTTTCAACCAGACTTTTTTATAATACTTTTTTCACATTTGTTCACATCTGTCAACAAACCATACTATGACTTTCTACATATTATCTTTTTAAACACTATGAACTTTTTTATAGTCGACATACAGGACCATAGATTTTTCATAATATTTTTGACTTATGATACTTTTGAGATATTGTACTATTACCTTTTTCATTTTTGTTTACATACTACACTAATACTTTTTTCTGCAACAATATGACTTTTTTTACGCGATAGTTTTCTACATATTATACTATGACTTCTTTAATGTTATTTCAACATACTATACATTGACTTATTGACATATTTTCTATGATTTATTTACGTTTTTGTGTAAAAATAAATACTATTCAAAACAGAAATATGTTTTCTTTTCTTTCCAATAATGACATTTCCCATTGTGATGTCTATATCAAATGTTCATGTTTTAATGAATGTTGCCACTAGAGGGCATATGTTGAAATATAATCCTCCAGCTTTATTTGTTTTTCAGTCATTTTTGTAGTTGTCAAGCCAGAGCTACCTTTGGAACAAGCGTCCATCCAAGTTCTACCCATCTTTCTACATCAAGCATTGTGTGTAACCATATCAATGAATGAAGTTGTAAATAAGTTGTTCACATTGTTTTTAGACTCATCAGGGACTTGACAGAATGTGGTAAAGAGGTTTTTTCTTATCCCTTTTTCTCTACTTCAACAGGGAGTGTTTATAACTAGTCTTCCTCATATTCAAGATAAGGGAATTCATAATGTCCCACATTCGTCATTACTGCGTGTGTAACTTTAAAGTGAAACATGCTACAGCTGGACTTTGTTTTACAGTATCATTGCTGACTCACACAAACAATGTAGTCTGTTGATTAAAACCATTAAGGCACACAGCTTAAAGGAAGCAGGCATGGGAAATAGTGAGCTGATGTGGTGTCACACCCTTTAAAGCAGAAGTTTATTGAACAGAGGTTGTGCAACAGACATTTGAGGTACATGATATGAGTTATAGTGGAGGGGGAGGGTCTCAAAGGGAAATCTACACCATTGACACTTCCACATACCAGAATATTTATGCTTGCACATGACAAGTGTAGCTCAACCCATTATAATTTGAAAGTAACAATGATGCACACACACAATATTTCGGACCAAAACATGTTTTCTCAAATACAGAATCCATATTGACTGACATTCAGAGTCATTGTTGTTGTATAAAGCAAGAAGTGTACTTTGGCCATCATAGGAATGCTTTTTCCCTCTCTCGCACACAACAAGGCAGATGTAGCACCAACATGAACAGATACGAACATTATTGAACTATCTACGGAATAAACACTTCCCAAGCAATGTTGTTGTGCCCGCCCCCTCCAATATAGAGTACAAGTGGAAACTTTGCATATTTCCTGTTTCCCATCTCACTGAGCGGAGATGTTTCCTCACTAAAACAGTGGGAACCCTCCACAACGATTCTAATTTGTCGTTGCTTCGCTCTCCCCACCCCCACTTTATTCTTTTTCCTCCGTTCCCCGCTAACTGCAGAGGTATAGGTGATGGATTTGTTTGTGATTTATTTTGTCCAGTAATCCTGAGGTATAAGAAATACCACTGACGCACAATGTGACTGAATAAGGAGAGCAATAGATTTAAAAAAAAGGGGGAAAGGAGACATGCTATCTAAGCAAACTGTACAAAGAACATTTCCAGTCGAATACTCATTTCATGTTCTTCTATCACCATCTACTTCGTTTTTCTGAATGTATCTCTTTAGCAGTAAAATAATTATATTATAATACAAATGTTTATAAAATAGCAGCACACTCAAGTGACACATCACAACTAGGTAATGTTATTTTTTTTGTATAAATGAAACAAATTCATAGCTTTTAGCAGCGCAAAAAGACAACAATAACTCAATAAAAAATATTGACACTTTTTTCTTGATGTCTTCACACCTCCTCCTCCTCCTCCTCTGTCCTCTCTTCACTTTGGAATACAGTATCTCTAAATCTTAGAAAAACCCTTTTGCGGGTCTGGTCACCCCATAAAATATATCAAACACAAATTGAATAGTGATCTCATTATATAACACATGCAACAATAAATTGCAGGAAAGAAAAAAATCACAACCGTTAAGTTTGGGAGAGAGCTTACAAATATTCAAATGGGGATGTTTCGGCAAATATGTCATTCAATTGCCCAGTTTTACTGAAAAAACATCACTTAAACATTAGATCCCCACATTTCTCTTCAGTCTGACAAACAAACACTCAGCAAAGTCACATACTGTCATTAAAAACTCAAGCATTAAGTCAAAGACACCTTGCTGTGCCCCAGTTAAACCAAAAATAAAAATCATCCGTCTCTTGATTTGTGCTGATGTCTGTTTTGCTGATGAACCCCCTTGTAAATGATTTAAAGCAGCAAAGCTAACAGGGGACAGATGTGTTCACTGACAGACAATCGGCCTTAAATACACGAGCCAGCACCATGAAACACTGACCGACCACAGCGACACGCATCAGTTCAGGTGGTTCGGAACAAAGCCTCTGCTCTGTCTTTAAAATGCAGACCTCATTAGAAAGAACATGTGCAAATAGGATGTTACCACCACCGTCTCTTGTAGCTCATCGCTGCCCTGTGTGACTAACTGTGGCTGTGATGCAGATAAATATGAAGAAAAGAAAATTCAAGTAAAAACAAATATTTCATTTCTTGACAGTAAAATAAAAACATGGATCAGTGAACTCTGTGTGTAAGCGTCTTCAGATTCATATTCAAATTTCAGTTTTAAATTTGTCGAAATTTCTATAAAACGGTCGGACTCCCCACTAACTTGCATTTTAGGAATGTTTTTTTATTTTTCTTATCGGAATGTCCTCTTGTCGCAAGCTTTTTATTTGAATCTCGCTTGACAAGGGTATATGTGTGACCATTGGGAAACCAGCCCTACAAAGTATACCAAAGAAAAGGCTAACAAGGAAAAAAGAAAAGAAAACATCCATTCACCTCCAATCACCACCCATCGCATTTCATCTGACTTCTTCTCCTGGGGAGCATGTTCTCAAAGTGCTTTGCCATTGAAATCATATAGGGGAGCTGAAAACAACCCTATGTGGGACTCCAGATGCATTGACAGTATATTATCATCCTGTACTCTTCTACCCCCCCAAGAAAGTTCATCCTCACATGACCTGGCAGCGTACACGCTTAGTTCCTCATTTCATTTCCACTTTTCCACTAAGCTGTGCCATTGTAGACATCAATTATGGGAAATCAATGTTGATTTCATCAAAATATGCAAGATATCAGAGTTTTATGGTGAGGCCTTTGGGCATCTTTTGTTCGTCATCATCTTCCAGCCACTGGCTGTAAATCCTCCACACAGCAGCATGCTCCTGCACCACTAACACCCTCTGTCCTACCACACTGTGCCGTGCACTTGTGTGCCTTCCAAAGTTCCACAGTGACGTCTTAGTTGCAAACTGTCCCTCTCTTTCCAATCCTCTCCATATCCTGCTCACTCCATGCTCATTAATACAGGAGTCGAAAAACGTCCTCCAGACTTGAAAAAAGCCTAACATCGTCCTGTTTTCACATGCTACATGTGAGAGTCCATTAGGCATCACAACTAAGGAAACACCATATCGTAACAACGTGAAAAAGATTGAAGAATCTGTAATGTTTCATTAACAGAATGGCAGTAATAAACACCTCATGTGAGGAAAAATGCTCTTAGAAAGATCATGGGCTCTAAGTGAAAGTCCCTTCGCCCATATCCTCATGGCTAACCTGTTTCACTCATAGTGCATGCACATGAGTTTATTGTTGGCCAACAACGAACCATGATACATAGATAATGCATGAAGGCAGTGACGTAGCATAGATGCCCTGTTTTACTGATGGACAAAGTGTAGCCTCCGCTCGCTCCGTAGTCTTTCAACAGAGACGTAAAGTCAACGATTCGACTCAAGTGCCTCACGCCATAGAACGCTCACTGCTAATATAGATACAGGATCACATATAGCGCACACACACACACACACACACACACACACACACACACACACACACACACACACACACACACACACACACACACACACACACACACACACACACACACACACACACACACACACACACACACACACACACACACACACACACACACACACACACACACACACACACACACACACACACACACACACACACACACACACACACACACACACACACACACACACACACACACACACACACACACACACACACACACACACACACACACACACACACACACACACACACACACACACACTCTCTCTCTGGATTCTCGCACACAAACACCCACAATGCAACCACCAACAGACACACAAGCAGCCTGACAAAAGGAGCTTATTGATTTCTACTCAGTTCCAAAATATGTCCAATAATAATATTAATAATAATAATAATAATTACTAATACTACTGCTAATTATTATCATCCCGTCTCTTCCATGGAATTGGGACCAACCAATGCTCAGCATAATGTTCTAAAAGCTTCTTCTGTCTGTCTCGTGTGGACCTTTTGATGTCCTCTTTTACACCGGCCACATATGTAATAGTGTTATTACAAATCAGAGACAAAAAGAAAAAGCCCCGCCGTGATCCCATGTAATTTCTGAATGGTTTCCACAACTTCTACCATAACAGCCTCATTATCAAGCTATGGTTAAAATATAACTTAAAGATCATATTATACAATCAAAGGCAGAAAATGATTGGATTCCCTTCTGTTTATCCAAGGCACCTCAAGGCTTCATCTGGTATCAAATTGGTTGCTTTTAGACTAGAACATCAGAGAAAATCGATTTCGTGGGCAGGGTTCTTTTGACTTGAAGAACAGAGAATCTACAACAAAAAAGAATAAAAACTAGCAAGCATTGTTCTTTTTCTTTTAAAGGGCTTGTGTTTTTTTTAAAACATTTTTTGTTCTTTTGTTCTTTTTTTTCTGCTTTTAAGAAAATTGAGGTTTTTTTTCATGATGCTTTTTTCTTTTGTAAATCCTGTGCAACGACGCCCTCTGGTGTTTCACAAGTTGACATCGCGGACGTCTGTGGGAGTGGTGGATTGGTCCAGCTCGTCCAGGCCCTTCCCGCTGGGGCCCCTCTGAGTCTGCTGCTGCTGCTGCTGCTGCCGGCCCTCTCGCAGGCTGCTCACCAGCACACGCTCAATCTGCTCCTGGCACTCTTTCAGGACGTCCTGCAAAGAACCAGAGAGGGGGGACAAGCTGTAACACATATGTTCATTTTAGCTTCTTACTTCGAATCCAAATTAAGTCAAAACTTTCTTGAAGTGTAATTTTCAACATTCTTTGGCCTTGTTTGACACCATCTGAAAATATCAATTACTTCATCACACTGGCTTAATTTTACCACTCAAAGAAAGTGAAACATATTAATATAAAATGGAAAACAGCTTATTTTTTGTGGTTCAAGTTTTAAAGTTAAGAGAGTCAGAATTTGTTTGTTTGTTTGTAGCCTTTATTTATCCAGGTAAAAAATCCCATTGAGATCAACGATCTCTTTTACAAGGGAGACCTGCCGCACAGTGGTTACACATGTAACAGAAAACAAAAAGGACACATACAACATAATGACAGGGGTACAATTTACAAACGTATTCACAAAGACAGGTAACAGGAGTATCAAATATCATTTCATCAAGCTGTGCTTTCAAATGATGCAGGGGAACCAAAATGCTCATTTTCAAAAGGTTTTGCATAGTGTTCCAAGCTAGAGGAGCTGCGCACATAAAAGTTTTAGTGCCTAAAACAGTCCTAGCACTTGGTACGTGTAATAAAAACACACCCTGGGATCTTAGGCAATAGCTACTTGCGACTCTCTGTGATATCAGTGAGCAGATGTAAGGTGATAGTTTACTCAGCATGGCTTTATAAATGAACATGTACCAAGGACTGAGACTCCGAACAGTCTTGCCCTGGCATACAGGGTACAGTGATGAGTGCTTTACAGTTAGTAACAAATCTCAGCGCACTGTGATAGGCGGCATCTAACTTGATTAGGTAATGGGCAGGTGCATTCATATAGATCAGATCACCATAGTCCAGCACAGGTAAAAAGGTCACAGAGCCTTTTCCTGGCCTCAAGCGAGAAACAGGACTTGTTTCTGAAAAAGAAACCTAGTCTAACCCTCAGCTTTTTAAGCAGATTATTGACCTGAAGTTTAAAAGAGAGGCAATTATCAAGCCAGATACCAAGGTATTTATAACAGGCAACCACTTCAAGAATTAAACGCCTCCATTTTAGTCCTTTGTTTACTTCCGTAAAATATTGACATCACTATAATAAAATAGAGGTTTCTATTGGCTAGCGCTCCAACACATTGTATGTGATAGGATAAGGGGCGGGACATCACTTGGCGGTTGACCAATCACAACAGTGCCGGCCAGCTAACCAATCAGAGCAGACTGGACTCTGGTTTCAGACAGAGGGTGAAAAGAGGTGCTGCAGCACAGGCAGTATGAGAAAAATAAAGACCTTTTTGAACATTAAAGCATGGAGACATGTCCCAGTAGAGGAACAAAATACAAATATGAACCTTAACATTAGCAGAATAGGGCCCCTTTAAATGACCACCAACTTTTCTAACTGCTCCATCTACAGCCAAGATTGAACCCAGACATGGAGCAGACCTAAGCATTACATCAGCCCACCAGGGTGGTGCACTGAACACCTCCCCTATAATTCTCATGTGCACACACACATGTGCATTAACATGTTCAGGCCCCCCGTGCATGCTTGCCACTGCCTCCCCCATCCAAACACCCACCTATCCCAGCATTCCCAAACACACACACACAACCCAAATAGAAGTAGCCTTGACAACGGCGGTTGAAAACACAGGTAGTACTAAAGCTATGTTAATTACATCCACCTCCTGTGGGAACACAAAGGTGGTGCTTTTTTAACGAGAGCCAGTCTGTGTGCCTGGCTGCCTGCAGGGATCCTTCTGAGACCCGGCCGGCTCTCCTTTCACCTTCAAAGGCCGCCGCCGCAATCTAAGAATCCACCTGGGAGAGGAGCCTCTCAACAGCGCTGAGCCCTCATATCCTTCCCTGATGGAGGGTTGACAGAGGGGACTTGGGGGGAGAGCAACTCACTGGGGAGGGGGAGACATGGGGGAGGGTAAAGGGAAGAGAGGTGCTAAATGGGTTGTTAGCAGGAGCGTCAAAGGGAGGTCAAACTGTTTTTGAGTGAGGAACTACACTTGAAAACAAGAAACTAATATGAAAGCTGTCTGATAAAGGCCGCACTCTGGTGGCGAAACACAAAAACACAACTAGCTCCGCACACGCTCACACATACAGAGCCCCCTACCTTCTAGCACCCGGGGTCTGTGGGAAACCGACTGAGAGCGCCCCATGGCCGGAGGGATGGGAGAAAGTGTAGCAGTGGTGGAGCAGAAATGTACAGCTAATTGAAACGTGATGGGCCACAGTTTGAGCCTGTGTTCTAGCTCCTGGTGCCGCTGGGCCTTGATGAAATGAGAACTGAAGCCGCTCACATCAGGATTGGTAGCTGCTCACGGGTGAGTGAGGGAAAGGTCACGGTATCAAAGGTCAAGCAGCATGACACAGTGCAGGGTGAAACATGTACTGTGTTGTTGACAGGAAACTACATGAGTTTTCTGACTTTTAACAGAACTTTCAAGACTGGTGATTCGTTGAAATTATGTACATGTGGACGATGTTAGGGAGGATTTCTTAAGAAGCAGAATCTCTTTTAAATATGTTTTTTTAACATACAAATCTTTTTTGGATTGATTGGGTTATGCTGATATTTGAAGTTTGCATGAAGTAATGCCTTTCTTTATTCCTTCCATTTTATTTTTTTTTGTACCTCATTTCTTTTTTTATCCAATGATTCTTGTTTTGGTTCCAGTCCATAAGGAATGATTTGATGTTGAGGAGGTTGGACTGGTCTGGGCTGGGTGCCTCTGGGGAACGTTTCCCTTGGCTATGGGCCTGACGTGGAGGAAACCCGACCAGCGCCTGTCCCTTAATCTCCTCCAGAGGTCTGCCGCTGACATGGGCGTGTGCACACTCGCACACACACAGCCTTCCCACCAACATATGCCCCATTGGTCATAAAATCTCAATTCCTGTGAGAAAATTAAGTAAAGCGAAGAACATGTAAAGGAACTGCCTGTGTCTTACCGCAAGAATGCACGCCTTCACGTCTTAAAATACATTCTCCCCCGTCTCCGCTGCTCTATGGAGCGGCAGTTGCGAACCGATGCCAAGCCCCATGGGCTTCATTCGAGAAACTTTAATGACTTCAATGTGTGACTACTGGAAACACCAATACTTTTTTCAGAGACGCCTGAGGTACTTGTATTCTGAGGGGGCCAACAGCACTGAATAAGTTGGGCATGGGAGGTAGCGCTTTACTGAAACATCTTATTTTGCAGGTCGGAAAACACATAATCAGCTCAGATCCTCCCCAGGCGGAACCTTAAACATACATCACACTGCAACAATCTGACAAATCAAGGCATGCACATTATCCCTGGGCGGCCTTTGTGACACTGGCAGAAGGGGGGAAGTCGTGCAGACAGACAAAACCAGAAAGGGAGAAATGAAGTGAAGCCATGGAATGTGATTTAACTGCTGACTGTACCACAAAGACAGCGTTAGCTACTCTGGGAGGACTTGGTGGTCAGACAGATGAAACACAGGCAGACACACACTGGAGATCTCGGGGAATCCTAAAAACGAAATATCCGGAGGCTGACACTGGAAATAAGGAGTCACCGCATGACTTGAATTTCCACAAGTTACAATAGAAAATGTGACCTTTCACTTTCTTTAGCCCGCATGCCGAAACACCACAAGTGGTGACGCTACAGGATGTGTTAATAATAGAGATAATCTTTCTTAATAAATGCATCTTTGTTGCAAGCGTTTTTGGCCCCAACATTCCTCCGTCCGAAAAATCACATTTCAATTGAGTCTAGCCATCCTGCTGCTTGTATGAGAATCTCTGTGATAATGGGCCATTGCAAACCAGAGTGATTAAAAAAGAGGAATGAAAACAGGAAGAGAGGGAGAAACGGGGAAATGTGTTTCCGTTGTCTAAGTGTGTGACCCTGACCGGAAAAGAAAAGATGAATGAGAGACTGAGAAATCGACTCAAAACGATCACATCTAGGAAGTGGTGGTCTTTAACCCTTGCACTTCTTTAACCTCTACTTCCTGTGTTATCATTCACGAATAAAGGGAGGCTCTACACACTTGGCCTCCATGTACTAACTAAATGCTGTGTTGTAGCGTATACTTCTCATATTTCAGATGACAGGTTTGAAGGAGTCACAACTGATCTAGCTTTAAACCAGAAACATTCTCACTAAAATGCACATGTTCTCTCCTCACATTAACAGGCCGCTCCTCTCGGTCACACCAGGTGTGTGTGAGGCTACACAAATTCTTCCAGCTGGCCAAGACGGTGACTTGGCCCTATCTCATTTCCACTGGAAAACCACAGCTTCTGAATACCACAGATGCCAGCAGGGGGCGGGGGGTGGCCATGATGCTGTTGGCAGGCTGAAGAAACTTGCTTTGCCTTCATATTTTGCCTGGCTCTTTGGACGTTGGCTACGAGACGCAGAAAACACAGTGTGTGTACACATTTAGACTCAGGTTCACCCCACCACCCGGATGACTGCGGTCCAAATTCAGGTTGAGGTGACCCTTGGGTATTGAATTGACGTATTAAGGGGTACAGCTTTTGTTAAAAGAAGGTAGGGTAAGTGTGAACATGACACAGTCTAACGCTCACCATTTCCTCTTTTGTTGTTAAAGCATAAACAGCGTTAATAGCACTGAAGACACCTATGACACTTCTGTCATTTTGCTTTTTAGTTGTAGAAGAAGTGGGGCACAAGTCTTAAGTAACTTAGTTAGCATCTGTTTAGCTTTGGCTGGCTTTTCAGCAGTTTACACTAAAGCCTCTCATATATGTTGAATTAGGAAGGGCGGCCTCTGCCTTGCCTCGTGTGTTTACTGCGAGCCATGGCTTGTCTGAATCCAGGAATGTGAGGAGTTGATCATAGAGACAGAGAGCGACTTAATTCCCTCAAGTCTGAGACCTTGCAGCCTAAACACACTGAGGCCCTGTGCTGCTGAGGTCAGCTATTTGTTTTTCCTCAGCTGCTGAGCGAGACTTCACACAGCTCGCACCAGAGGGAGCCATGCTTTCCAGCAGTGCTGCAATATGGACCATAGGAGGCAACGAGAGAGGGCTGATTGTCGCGAGGGAGGCATGATTCCCGCACCCCCCCACCCAGTGTCCTTTTCACATTTCAACAGCTTCCTTCCACCTCCTCCTCCTCCTCCTCCTCCTCCTCCTCCTACTTCGCCTCCTTTTGGGACAGAATTTAACATCCCAGGGCTGAGGCCTGGGATCCGTGTCACGCCCTTTGATCTGCCCCTCTGCAGCGAGCACACATGAACTCTGAATGCTCATGTTTAAATAACTACAAGCCCTTTTCATCATGTTTGGTATTAGACATCCTCTTGCCAAGGCCTCATAACTGCAGCAGCTCCCTGCCCCCTGCTCCTGAATACTTAGGATCGTTCCAATGCAGAAGAGTCATTTCTCCAAAGAGACTAATAAAGAGCGATCACCTCACAAGCTCCCTTACAGTAAGCTATAGCGAGCTGAAGCCCTCTCCCATCCGCGTGATGAAAGCCAGGCATCTCAGAGTCAGAAGAGGCCCTGCCTGTGTTTGGACTCAACTCACCCACCACCGCAATATTCGCTGTACCCAGACAGCCACACAGCGGCCTGGCCAGCATTCCTGTCAGCCGCCGAGCACACTGTATATGCTCTCAACCTGGCTCGATCTACAGGAGTCTTTATATGAGGGGGGGACTGATGGAGAGGAGGAGAAACCTGCCTCATGAGACCTCTCTGGTCAAGTGTATGACAGAAGAGACTGCAAATAAAATGACGCAGTTCAGGATTTCTTCCTATGATCTCAGTTTGGTGCCGTTTTTTTGGTAATTTTATGAGAAATATTGGCCGCTGTCCCCCACTCTCCCAAATAAGGGTTTGTGGAAAGCGTAATCCAAGGGAAGAAGTCAAAATCTGAGTGTAACATTTCAACATTTCAACTTCTCTCTGTTGCAAAGTTCTACCAACATGTGGCATTTCTTAACCTTTGACATAAATAATAGGGATATTTTTCCTCAGAGAGTCTAGTAGAACAAGACAGATTGTAAAACTGTGTGTTTCATTTGAAACAACATGGGAAAATCGTGGAATCTTACCAGAGATGTTCACTGACAGATTAGACAGAACAGCAGCTGGATTCAGCTTTGAATCACACAGTTACTGTGATAATGTACTAAGATAAATACCGATGACCACTAACATTTACTCATTCAGATATTACTCAGAAACATCCACCCAAACAATTTCCAGACACAAGAATGAATGTGTTAACCCTGACTAATAAGAGTTTTACAAAGTTCTTTTCTTGGGAAAAATATATGTGTCTTGTCCAAACTCACCACTTCTGTGTTTGTGATTTTAGCCAGCAGGTCTGTCAGACTGTCGCCCCACTGTGACTGGTCAGCTGAATCCAGCTGCAGGCCGCAGATCGCTGCCCCCACACTTCCTGTTGCAATCATGGAGGGGGGGTACATGGCGAATCGGAAATCTGTTAGAGAAAGAAATACCAAGTGAGTTTCCAGTGCTATTTGTAAATGATATTGTTATGGTAAGCACGGAACTAAAATCTTCCGATCCGTGGTTAAATGAGATGATTTACACTGGATTCTGTATTCACCTGGTGCAGTTTCTAAATGTCACTTTTCAATCCATATGCTCCACAAAAAGGGTACAGACAATATGATTCGGTAATCTAGCAGTCAGCTAATAAATAATCCTTCTACTGTAGCGGGCCTGAACGCAGCGCTCACTAATGACCAGGGGCCTGGATAATGAGGGTTCACTTGGCTTGTAAAGGAGCTGAAAAGCAACCACCCTCACCCGCTCACCACCCCAATCCCCCTTTCTCCAGCCCGGCCCCTTTTCTTCCATCTCCTGAGTAAATCGTGTGCTCTCTGAAAAAAGCCCCATAGCGCTTGGAAAGGGAGGAATAAAGAGGCTCAGTGCCTCTGCCAATGCTCACTGCTGTAGGTCCTTTTTCCACGTGTGGTCACAGGCGTGCGTCTCAAAGACCAATAACCTTGTTAGCTCCCCTCACTGTCATTCATAATGCAAATGAGACAGCTTGTGAACGGGCCAGAAGCCCGAAAAGGCAAGGCAACTGGCATACAGGGAGAGAGAGGGAGAGAGAGTTTTACTCTTCACAAGACATACACACACACACACACACACACACACACACACACACACACCACACACACACACCACACACACACACACACACACACACACACACACACACACACACACACACAGCACACACACACACACACCACACACACACACACACACACACACACACACACACACACACACAGCACACACACACACACACACACACACACACACACACACACACACACACACACACACACACACACACACACACACACACACACACACACACACACACACACACACACACACACACCACACACACACACACACACACACACATACACACTACACACACACACACACACACACACACACACACACACACACACACACACACACACACACACACACACACACACACACACACACACACACACACACACACACACACACACACACACACACACACACACACGTTCTCTATTCTCTCTTTATGTCTTGCTCAACTTCTACCTTTCTTCCTTGACAACACATGGCCTGCTTAGATGTGGCCAGTGAATGGCACACATGCCTCAGTCTTTGTTGCTACAACAGGCAGCGGTTTGCATTGGCAGCCCTCCTATCTTTTAGCATATTAATAGAGTGGCGGGCCAGCGAGAGGGAAGGCAGAAGAGTGTGACTCCATTGTCCCGAGTCATCACCTAATTTCACCCAATTGAGCGAAACAGCATCTATCCCCTCTCTGCTGATACCAATTCAGAGAGACAGGCCGGACAAAGAGCATGGCCGGACAGGGTGGGGGGGGAGGATAGGGAGTCGACGTGGGGAGGAAGATGAAGAAGGAGGGATGGACGGACTGGCGACAAGGCAACGAGGAGAAAAGAGGGGATGTTGGTGGGCTTGGTGGGAGAGGAGAGGGGGTCGACAACTCCACTGCACATCACTCTCAAGTCTGTGTCCAGACTCCTGTGAGGGTTTGGAAGAAGAAAAGAGTCGCCCTCCAGCGACCCTCACCTCCCGCCTCCCATCCACCCCCCCACAAGTATTCCTCTGTTCCGGGCCACCTATGGGCTAGAGGAGTGGGCAGTGGGGGCAAGGAAACAGCCTGCACATTAACATATTGCCATATTCAATTGCAAAGCAAACTGCGTGTGATGGCCATGAAGGAGATTTTTCTTCTTCCTTCTTTTTTTTTTTTTTTTAAAATGTGGAATCAAAGAGGTGGGCCCTTTGATAGCTGTAAAGGCAGCCCCTCACTGCCTTTTTAACATGCACAGCCAGGCGCTTTCTCATCTTGTGGGCTCAGTGTTGACAAATAAATGAACTTATTATACACCCCTGTGTTAGCCGCTGGGCCTCTGCCAAGGGGCGATTTATTAAAGGCTACCTCGAGCCAAGAGGAAAGAGCACACAAAGCCCCTCAGCATTACATCACTGCTGTAAGAGCACCACTTTCTATAGAGGACTAAAGGGACAAAGGCATACACGGATTTACTGTACGTGTGTAGTGAGGGCAGACTGACAGGCAAGGAGGCGGACACCTAAGAGACACGGGCAATAAACAATGCACTGATGCCTGCATGTTTTAAGATGCAGGCACACACACACAGCACAGAAGTAGGTTTGTGGGAGAGCTGAGTGGCGGACAGTGGGCAGCAAGCTGATTTTTCGCACTCAAGACAAGACAGGTCTGTGGCAGAACAAGGACACGCGCGTGCAGCCGACGCAGGCTGACACTCCGGCCTGGTGGCTGCTGCATGTGGGGGGAAGAATGGCCGTATTTTAGGAGGCCCTCATTGATATTCATGTTGAGGATAAACAGTGTATGTAGCTGAGTGGGGACGCCTGCGATGGAAAGCTCCCTGTGAGCAGCGGCTGGCTGGCCTGGCCTGCGCGCCTCTCACCCCCTTCAATGGCCCTTTCTCCTCCCCGTGCCCCCTCATCTCCATTCCTCCGTGCTCCTGGCCCCTGATACTCCATCCCTCAGGCCTCTGGTCACACAGTCTGCTGCCCTACATGGCCTATTCCTCTTGGGTGGCTGTGATTGCACAGTATTCACATTAAACTTGTAAATTAATTAAAGTTTGGAAAGTTGAACAACAGCCAGAAGAAGGCGAAAAAAAAGTTCTCCTTCGCACCCTCTCCTCTCTTTCCACCGCTATAAATCAGGGTCTTGTATTCAATACATGTAGCGCTTATTGACCTTGTTTATTAAAGGAGTAGCATTACGAGGTCCCGCGGCCTGTTGACGGATTAAGGCCAAAAACAAACAGCATTTTGGGGATTGGCATGACAGTATGTTTCACCGCTAACGAAACAGAGCCCGGTAGTCAAAACAAGGTCTATGGAGAGCTGCTCAGACGGTTCACCTAGCAGAGCTCTTTGAGACACACAAACAACAACAACAACTTCTCAACTGGGCTTTAGGAGTCCTTTCATATGCAACACAGTGAGAAATCACAGATTAAGAAACAATAACTCGATACTGCTCCCTGTCACATTCCATGAAATCTTGTTCAGACTGTCACTCTGGAGACGAACACAAAACAGAACTTGGGAGAGTCTGAGTCACGCACCCTTCTTAAACTGCGATTTGAAAACATTTGCCAGAAAACAGAATTCTTTCTTAATTGCAGCATCCCGTGACAGCTCTCTTCAGCCTTGCACCATCATCTGCACTGTCACAGCTGCGGCCTTGAGGCGTTGGTAACGTCAGCGCCGGGGAGCGTACAGATTCGGATCAAGGGTGAAATATTCCAAAATCTGTTTATCTCTGTGGCTGAGACGATTTGGAAAGAATAAAGAGCTTATCTGAGGTAAGTAAACCCTGCATTCAGCAAAACAATTTGGAGAAAGACACTGATGTCATGACAAAAAAGTCCAGGTTAAACTAGCTAACTAACATTTACTTTAGGTCAAATCACAAATATTAGTCTTTGCGGTCAACGTGACCTCCAAGGTAAACATGTAAACTCAAGAATATTTTCATTTCAAAACCTTTTTTGGTAGGGTAATTGCAGCCCTTCAAAGCAAAAATCTCATCATTTGTGAGTCTGGTGTGACTCAGCTCGCCACAGTATTTACAGTATGGTGCTGATTACACCAGCGAGGTGAGGAGGGGGGAAATCAGGACATGCCAATCCATGATTCACTGTGTAGTTCACTGTCAGGAAGCTCCATGTGTTGACGGTGCGGCCGACCGGACGTGATTCCTCACATCAGTGGAGCATGTGGATAATTTGTCGGAGGAGGTCTCTAATTTGTTAGGGTTCTGAGTCATCAAACATGAAGGGGTTTTTATGTAAACAAACACCAGTAAATACCATTTCATTGACCACATCTGAGATAAATCTTTTGTCGCCGGAATGCGGAGATGAGCCTGGAGGGGATTCTCCGAGAAGCAGCCACTCGGAGAGGAAGCTTCCGAGGAGCATTCCTGCCCCCGGTCCGATGCGGTTTAACAGCTTAGATGAAAAGAGAACTCATGAATCATCTCGTAATATTAGACTGGTCAATGTTGCGTACAAATTGGCAGGTTTGCCGCTTCCTGTATAGACACATAGCCTCAAGGATTTGAGGCACGTAGCTTCGGTTAGGCTCTAATTACAGCTTTGTGTAGTTTGACCGATGCTTTTGCCATAATTTCATATATAAAAATGTGAAATACAGTATGTAAGCATGTTTTCCAACTTTCTTTATGTTAAGAAGCGGTTTAACAAACGTCTGCAGTCTGCTGGTATAAAACTGTGTGAGTAGGATGTATGCAAAGTGTAGGATTTATATACTCTGCACACTCCTTTTGTAAATATAAAAATAAGCCTGGCTTTATCACAACTCGAAAGGTAAAAAGTGAACCCATGCAGAGAACACTGGACTTCTCTCATGTTTGTCAGCTAGTGAATCATTAGTCTCAGAGAAACTAACCAGTTAATCATCAAGTTACTTCACACAGTCCAAAAACAGTGCCACAGATAAAGAAGAATTAAATATTGTTCTAAGCCAATACTTCAATCCCTTGTTATTTATATCCCGAGTTGTAGCAAAATCTTCATTGTGTCCTTCAGGACAATTGACTCTCTCTTGGACAGCACTGTTGGCGCTGATCCAGAAATGTCTTTTGATCAACTTGCATGACCATTGTCACCATTCCATGCATACCATTACAGAGAGGGCTATTGGAGTCGCTATAAAAAAAATAGAGCATAATCCCTCCCAATATGGCAAGAAGACGGAGCTCAATAACTGCAGCAGACAGGTTGGGGTGCATCTGTCTGCCCCATGCACCCCGTCCATTCTCCCACTTTACCTCAATTGAATAAGAATAGAAGAGGAAGCTGGGAGTGCTTGGTGTCTGTGTGTAGGAATGGAGGTTCATAATCTCCCTTAATGAGCTTGTTTCTGGGCTATTATCCGGCAGCCTGCCTGAGGGAAACGCTGGTGTTTCCTATCAAGTGGCCCCGCAGCGCTGACCCTCGCATGGCTCTGCATATGAAATGTAAGGGCCAAGCCTTTTGTCTCCTTTCTCCCAGCCTCTAGCTGAGCTCCCCAGCCATTTGCATAGTCCTGAATGGACCAGCCAATGTTATTAATTAATACAGAGCCAGCCTGCGCCACCTGACAAAATCCCACCGAGTGGCCCGAACGGAACTGTTTCATCAAAAGAGAGGAGCCATTAGGAATGAGAGGCCTTATTCTCCACTTCTCCTCTTCTCTCTCTTGTTCCCTTCAAAACAGAGAGCCGTGGTTTCATGCATGTTTTCGTTTTCGGTGTAGGGGCAGCGGCGGTGGTAGTAGTGCCGGGCTGAATGAGGCTGCATGAAATAGGAAGGCCACAGGTGACTCGTTGTCAACTGTCTTGCAAATGTAAATCCTCCTGAGACGTGGCCTCCTTCTGCTGCGTCTTCACCTCCTCAGCCCCGCTCCGACGACGTCTCGAGGAGGATTCCCACCAGATAACCCGGAGGTTTACGTCTGGGAACGTTCCCCAAATGGGGTTTTCGAATTCCCAGAGATCTGTAGATGCACCAAATTGTTGACTCACTTGCGCTCTCTCTTTCTCACTCTCTGTTTGCCTGGATACAAGTCTGAGGAGAGCATATACACAGATAAACTCTCTGTTGCTAATCCAGAGCTATCTCCAAATAGTCTCACTCCTAAAACACAATGTCAGGAGGACTCCAGGAGGCTCGTAAATGTGTTTCCACTGCCTCATTGAAGCAATTAAGGACAAAGTGCATACTGAGACTTTCACAATGTTGTATTGGAAAAAGGTTCGATCACTGACGCGCTGTCATTCCACACATCAACCCGCTGGCAGAAAATAAGGGATGAGGTATTTGGGGTGAGGCAGGGAGAGATAGCAGGAGAGAGTTAAGGAAAAGATGACGCAGAGAAATAGAGGAAACATGCGTTTTTTCCTAAAAACGTTGCAAACATGAACTTTAGTTGCAAATTTGTCTCAGCCTATCATATCCATTGCACAATCGGCGCACGGGATTCCATCGCTTTATGATGTAAATACCTGTCACCTCCCTTGTATCTATTCATCTAACCACACACACTCCTCTGAATGATGTCAGCACAAGGAGCAGTTTCCCATGGGGGGTGTAGTAAGCACTCCTGTAGAAAAGGAAGCTGCTGCTGGTGGTGGTCACCCAGAGAATGAGAAACAAACGACAGCCTTTTTTGTGGTTGCATTGTGTTATTTTCTCAGCAGTGTTAAGATAAATAAGGTTGTTTTAGACACGTTTTTTTTATCTCTGCACATTTTTTCAGTTTTGAATGAGAGGTGAGGTGCCGCAAACAGGAGAAACCTGCCCCATAGAGAATCTCAACATGGGAAAGCTATCATGTCCTCCAGCTGTAGGGCGGGGAGGCGTGAGAAGTAAGGGGGGGGGGGAAGAGGGAAGGAAGGCGGCAGGAGAAAGAGATATGAAAACATGTCATGCCTTAGAATTGGCAACGCAAAAACAATACACTCCTCCGGCTTTCCCTGACTCTCCTGTTCCCTCCTGCATCTTCTCCGTCCCTCCAGATCATGTTAAAGGCTGCCTGTCACCACTCGCGGGATGTTTGATCTTAAGAGAACAATTCACCTCAAGAGCAGAAAGACAATGGCCGGCCTGCCTCCACCCCTGTCCATTCCTCTTCTCGACCCTGTGCGACATGGGAATGCCCCTCATCCAGGATGAATGTGCTTTGAAGTGTTACTGGATGCTCTGGAAGCCACTGATATGCCTCTAAAGCATGACCACATACCGGTCTGAGAGAAGACAAATGATGGATGTCAGCCCTAAGAGTCTAACGCTTAAATGCCTTCCATGACACATGCCTTTCTCAGGAAGAATATTTTCCCATCCCAGGTAATACTTCAGTTACTGCGGGCTGGGACTGGCCCAGAGCACACCTCAGAACACGGCTGTTGCCTCACGGTATTCAGAGAAGAGGGCTTTAACACAGCGCTGAAAGAAAAATGTGCAGATAAAGATGTTTTGCAACACGAGAAAGTATGTTGATGCAAGCCATTATCGCTTGGTTTGACTTGGCAGCTTATACATGATCAGTGTCAAAACCAAATGATATCGAGATGACGTCGCACATCTTTTTGATCAGTTTTGTGCAACTTCAAATCACAATTGAAAAAAGGACATATAACATGTTCCTGGTAAGCTGTCATGGTGTCCTACCTGTGGCACATAGGGCGATGAAGGTCTGGACATGTTTGCGTATAAGTGCCAGCTTATCCTCGGGCAGCGGCAGCCTCCTCACAATGTGCTCGATGAAGTCGTTCGGCGTTACTGCTGCCAAGTTCCACTTCAACTTCCCCAACACCACCAGTTCCCACTCCTGAAGAGAAGAGAGCCGAGAGAGATAACCGAAAATGAGAAAGACTGAGAAAGATTAAGTGACACAAAGTACAACCATACATTTACATACTGTAGCCCTTTACTGCAGCTAGTTTCCCTCCAGTGAGCGTGCCTCTGTGAACCCCTGGCCCCAAACAGTAGTATGCGTTGAGGTTAAGCATTATTGTTATTACGTTAGTCTCTGCTTGGCCGGGCCTGGGACAGAGAAACACCAGCAGCGCCACCAAGCAGGTGACCTCACACACTGTCTCCCCCCGTCTGTCTGTCTGGCATCTGGGGACTTTCCTAAAGAGGCCCACCGGAGGTTTAACTCATAGTGTGTGTGTATGTGTGTGTGTGTGTGTGTGTGTGTGTGTGTGTGTGTGTGTGTGTGTGTGATAACAGACCAGCAATGGACCAGCAATGAATCTGTGTTATGTATTAAAAAGTGGTTCATTATTTTATCTTATCGCATTCCATTCATCATTTAAAAACATCAAAAGTCTTGCAACAGGTAATAAAATAATGTAACTATTTGTATTTGTTGCACTTTGTGTTTTCTGCGAAGGCCTTCAGACTTATCAACAACGAACCATTTCAGCGCAAATTGTTCTTCATTTTAGTCTTCATAAATGCCAGATAACGTTAAAGACGAACAGGAAACATTAACCTTTGGCATCTTTAGACAACTTAAACTTCTCTGTACATGCATACATCATTTGGATCTTTTGGCAACATTTGATGACACATGCTAAACTAGATGAGTATTTGTGAAATGGGTGTCTCTGTGAGTGTGTGTGGAGGGGGGGTGTGGGGGGGGGGGGGGTCTAGGTGTGGCGTTCTCTACGAAAGTATTGTTACTTTCACTTCCTAGGGGAGGAGGTGATTAACAAAATAGTTGGTGACTAATTTGGGAAAAATGTGGTGGTTTGGTTCCGGACAGCCTTGTGACCG